CGGGTACGGTGGTGCAGACGAGGGGACCGGGGCTGACGCCCCGGAGCAGCAGCAGCAACCCCAGCAGCAGCCGCAGCAGTAGCGGCAGACGTCGTGGGGACCCCCGCCGCCGTGGTGGCCAGGCGGCGCTGGTGGTGTTGGTCGTGGTTGTGGGGCGCGCAGCTCGGTGTCGGGTGGCGGCTCCAGTGTGGTTACCTGCCAGTACCAGCTTCAGTCTGGCCCCCGCCGCGGCACCGTTTGCGACCGTCGCGGTCACACCGCCACCCGCTGCTACCGCCACCTGGAAGACCTCTTCCATCTCCGCTTTGGCCCTGTGTCGGACCCCCCTAACAGGTACAGCCTGGTGCGTCGTTGTGTCCCTGTTTTTGAGCTTGACATGGATCAGATTATGTCTGCTCTGTATGCCATGTATGCTGATGACTCTAGTGTGATTGGACCCTATAACCCTGTGTTGCATAGTAAAGGTGTGTCCACTATGTGTAGTCTAGGTTCCTCTGCTGCGTTAGGCGTAGGATCACCTACCTTGTTTGGCCTTGGCTCCACCCTAGCTCCTTCGCTTGCGGCCGCTACCGCCGCGCTCTCATTCACGCTAGACTCTGGTGCATCTGCCTGCTTCTTTCGCGACCACACTGCGCTCATGCCGCTTGCTGCCCCTACCACTGTAGCGCTTGCTGACCCCTCCTCAGGTCCAGTAGTTGCCCACAGCTCCACTACCCTTCCCTGTCCTGCGGTTCCCTCAGGCTCTCTTACAGGCCTGCACATCCCCTCGTTCTCCATGAATCTAGTTGGTGTCGGCTGTCTTCAGGACCTTGGCGTCATCACTACGTTTCCTGGACACGAGCGGTACACAGTCTATACCAAGGCCACTACTGGTGCCCCTCTGACCACTTTCCCCCATGACCCCGTGTCTGGCCTGTTCACCCTAGACATCGCTTCCCCCCCGGTGGGAGCATCCCCCAAGGTTGCCACGTCCTCCCAAGTTGCTGCAGTTTGCTCGTGTCGGTCGCTCACCCACCCGTCGCTGCTGTGGCACCACTGCCTAGGTCACCCTGCACTCCCGCGTCTGCGTCACATGTCCCATCACGGTCTTGTCTTCGGTCTCCTTGCGCCGCTCCCTGCCCTATCTCCCTCACCTGCGCAGACGTGCACGCCCTGCATCGAGGGCCGGCTGTGCTGTGCTCCTCACTCCTCCTCACTTCCCCCTACTACTGCGCCCCTCAAGACCCTGCACCTAGACATTTGGGGCCCAGCCCCCGTCCCTGGGCCGTGTCGAGAGCGCTACTTTCTAGTGCTTGTTGACGACTACACGCGCTACATCACGGTGTTTCCCCTGGAGCATAAGGCCGATGTGCCTGACGTTCTTATCCCGTGGGTCGTAGCTGTGAGAGTCCACCGTGGCCTCCCTATGCTGCGTCTTTACTCCGAATGTGGCGGCAAGTTTGCCTCCGATCAGCTTGGTCAGTTCTGTTGTGCGGAGGGCATCACCCAGTCGTATACCCTGCCGGACTCCCCGCAGCAGAATGGGGTCACTGAGCGACGCATTGGTTTGGTGGCCATTCGATGTTCGCTACGTCGCTCACCAGCTTAACCTGTGGCTACACTCCTAGTGGCCGAAGGTTTCGCTGACCCTTCTCTGGACTGAGTTCCCTAATGACGCGTCTGCGTTCCACGTTTGGGGCTGCCTTGCTCACGTTCGTGCCTCTGGCTCGGACAAGCTCACTGCGCGCACCGTCCCTTGTGTCTTCCTTGATTTTCCCCTCGACGCGTGTGACTGGCACTTTTACCACCCGCCGTCTCACGGTTTCTTTCACTCCCATGACGTCACTTTCGACGATTCTGTCTCCTCCTAGACCCGCTTTCCCCACCGAGGTCTCCCGGTTGCCCTGCACCTGTTCCTGGTCCCCACTCCCCTGGTAGCCCCTGCTCCTCTTCCTCCCCGTCCTGCCCCTTCTGGTGTGTCTCATGTCGCCCCCCCCCCCCGTGGGTTGTCTCGGTGGAGGAGTCGGCTGAATCCGGGGGCCCCGTGGCTTCGGTCTCGCTGCCTATTTCCGCCCCGGTGTCTCCTCCTTCGCAGCCGCCGCAGCAGCAGTCGCCGCCTTCGCCGCCGCAGCCACCGCCGCCGCAGCAGCAGCCGCCGCAGGGGTCCGCGAGGTCTGGGGGTGCGGGCGTTAAGGAGGGTGCTATTCCTAGGGGTACTATCGTGGCTTGTCCTGGCGGTCCTGGGGGTGGCATTGGTTCTGGAGAGGGTTCTCGTCCTAGGGGTGCTGTCGTGGAAAGTCCTGGAGGTAGCCGTGGTGCATCTGGAGGTTGTGGTATCGGTGTGGAGCAGCAACAGCAACAGTCACCGCTGGTGTCAGCCCTTCGCCTCCTCGGTCTTCCCTCCGCTGACCGCCCGCCTGGGCCTCCCCCGCGTATCTAAGGTCCTGTGTTTCCTCCGCCGGACTCGTCTCCAGCTCGTTTTCCCCCGCGTTCTTCCTCTTTATCTCCAGTGTCTCCAGACCCCACGCCTCCGTCCCACTTCTGGTCTCGCCGTTCCTCTCATGCTCTTCCTGTCTCCCATGTCCAGCGCTCTCACCTTATGTTGCTTCGTTCCCGCGCATCTCGTCCTCCCCTCCTTCCGTCGCCTCCTCCGTCCTCCCAGGTTGTCGCTCCGCCTCCCCTATTTGGTTTCCTCCATGCCGCTAGCCCTCTTGTTCCTCAGGTCCTCGCCTCTCTTGTTACCGACATGTCTGTTCCTGTCTCCAGTCTTGACGCTCTTGTCGCTGCCGTCACTCACTTTGCCTCTACCCACAGCCTTGACTACGCCACCGCTCTGGTCTCTGACCATGCCTATCCTCCGTCCATCGGGGGTGCTCCTGCCCTTGGCAATGACGTCCTGGAGGACTGGCTTTACGAGCTTGCTTTCCAGTCCGAGGCCGCACATTATCTCTGCTCCATGCTGCTAGTCTCTGAAGGTGACCTAGACGCCTTTGACATCCCGACCCCTCACACTTCCGCCGAGACGACCTTGGAACCCTGAGCCTCTCAGTGGATAGCTGCCATGGACGCGGAGATGGCATCTTGGAGATCCACCGGCACCTACGTCGACACAGTTCCCCCACTTGGGGTGAACGTTGTCGATGGCCATTGGCTCTTCAAGGTAAAGCGACCTCTTGGAGAGCAGTTGGTGTTCAAGGCGCGCTAAGCTGCTAGAGGCTTCAGTCAGCGCGAGAGTGTTGACTTCTTTGAGACCTGCGCCTTGGCCCCGAAGATGACTACTCTTCGGGCGCTGCTACACATAGCAGCACAGCGTGACTATGAGCTGCATTATCTTGCCTTCTCAACAGCATTTCTTCAGGGCAGTCTTCACGAGCAGGTCTACCTGCGTCGCCCGCTAGGCTTCATCGCACCTTCGCCCCGGGGACCCAGTGGCTCCTCCGGCACCTAGTTTAAGGCCTGCGGAAGGCACCTCAAGAGTGGCATAACACTCTTCATGCTACGTTAGCCGACCTGCAGTTCTTCCCGTCCTCTGTAGACCCTTCGCACTTCATTCGTTCACGCCAGACACTGTTCTACATCCTTGTCTACGTAGATGATCTGGTCTTTGCCACCGCAGACAGAGACGCACTGGCCACTGTGAAGGCCGAGCTATTGAGGAGACACACTTGCACTGAACTATTAGAGCTGGGCTGCTATCTTGGCCTGCAGATCTCTAGGGACAGAGCAGCACGCACCATCTCTCTCACCTAGTCACTCTTGGTGCGCTAGGTCCTTCAGAGGTTCGGTTTTCAGTTCTCCTCCGCACAGCCCACACCTCTACCAGTAGACCATAGGCTCTCAGCTCCAGTGCCTGAGGAGTCAACAAAGCCCAGTGGTCCTTACGCAGAGCTGGTGGGTTGTCTCATGTACCTGATGACTTGCACTCGTCCTGATCTCGCATACCCTCTCAGCATCCTGGCTCGCTTTGTGGCCACAGGCAGACACCGACCACAGCACTGGTCGGTTGCTAAGAGGGTTTTGCGTTATCTAGCAAGTACATCGGGCATGAGGCTAGTGCTAGGAGGACACAGGCCAGTGGTCCTTACAGGGCATACAGACGCTTCATGGGCAGACGACGCTAAGATTCTCGGGTCCTCCCAAGGCCACTGCTTTAGCCTTCGTGCAGGTGCCATCTCGTGGAGGTCCACCCGCTCGTCGTCTGTTTCCTATTCTAGCCGTGAGGCTGATATCTACGCTGGTGTCATGGCGGCACATGAGCTCCGCTGGCTGACCTTCTTGTGCACAGACTTAGGTTAGCGGCCTAGCTCTGCCCCAGTCCTGTATGCTGACAACAGGGCCATGATCCTCCTGTGTCAGGAGCCTCGACTGGAAGGCAGAGCGAAGCACATCCAGCTGCGGTACTTCCTCCTGCGCGAGCTACATCAGCCCCGCGAGGCCCGCGTAATACGCTTGGCCTCCGGTGCCAACACAGCTGATATCTTTACGAAGGTGCTTGCGCATAAAATATCATTAGCGACACTGTGTACAACTTGGTCTCGTTCTCTGTAGCTTCTCACATGCAATGCCCTTGATTGTGTATTATATTCTATATTATCTTGACTGGCCCTGTGGCCCCTTTTCCAGTGGCTGGACTAGTAATACCGCCTTGGGTTGCTCTTGTTTCCTGTGTACTCTTGCAAACTGGTCTTCAAACCTTTGCTTCAGAGGTTGGACTAGTAGTGCCACCCTGAGTTGTGTGTCTCGTGCTGGTCGTTGCCCATTGTCTAGCCTAGGGGGTGTGTCAACATATATTTTGTATATGGTATAGGCTAGATAGGTGCAGTCTTATAGAGAGTACAACCCCTTCAACAAAACTACTGTGTATCACACATTCTAGTTACTTTTTTTTTCTACTCTGAGAAGTAACACATGCAATTCACCTGAACATTGTGGCACATGCAATTCGACACCCCCCTTTTTTTTTCAGTCCGCTCTAATGCACTATGTGGAGAGCGGCGAATGTTAAATTATATATGTTAGTATATAATTGTAGGCTTGGTAGTGGTTACTGAACATTACTGTAGAGGGTACAACACCCCTCCTTGTATCCCTCTCTCTTCTTTCCTAGTCCTCTTTTCTCTCGACATTCTTGCCTACCTCCTAGATCTAGATTTCACGCCATATTCATGGTTCCTCCTATTCCTACCTAGCCTAACTTTACGACATGGTATCAGAGCAGGACGCCCGTCCTAGGCCTGCTCCCCTCCTCACTTCCGCTGCGTTCTCGTTCCCTGTTCGCCGTCGTCGTGGCCTGCCTACTGCCTGCCACCGTGGCACCTTGTCCAAGATGCCGCGGCTGCCTTTGTGTGATGTCGTCCCAGCGTCGACGAGCAGCCGCGGCGCCGACGCCACGCCGTGGTGGTGTCGTCGTGGTGCCGTGGCTGTGTCGTCGGCCTGTTGCCGTCGCCCACCACCTGCGTCGCTGCTGGATTTGCAGCCCGCCCGCCCGCCAGCAATGGCGCCGCGCTGAAGATCCGATGGCCCACCCATTCCCCCTTTCATCTGTCCCCTCCTCTTCGCCACCGCCGCCGCCTGACTCTCGCCGGTCGTCCCCATGTCGCGGAGTTTGGACACGCCGCCGGAAGGGCGGGGGCCGCTGCCGTTACCGCCAACATAAGCCGAAGCCGTCGCCATCGCCGCTGTCGTCGCCGCAGGCCTATTGCCGCCGCACACCCGTCGTCGCCGTCGCTGCCGAGACTGCCGCCGTCGCCATCTCCAGGGCCTTGGGGTTGGCCCTGCTTGAGTCGTCGTGGCTGATGGGAATGGGGATGCTAGGTTAGGGGGTGTGGGGGTGTGTGGGTCCTTGCTACCAAGCCTAGGGGGTGTGTTAAATTATATATGTTAGTATATAATTATAGGCTTGATAATGGTTACTGAACATAACTGTAGAGGGTACAACACCCTACCTTGTATCCCTCTCTCTTCTTTCCTAGTCCTCTTTTCTCTCGACATTCTTGCATACCTCCTAGATCTAGATTTCACGCCATATTCATGGCTCCTCCTATTCCTACCTAGCCTAACTTTACGACAGCAAATGCGTGCTAGGTGCACTAGTTTTGTGGCACTTGTTAGGGACGTGAAAATTATCTTTGGCTGCCTCGGTATAACTGAAATCCGTTGCAATCCTTATACCGTACAAAATTTCCCCGCACCCTCCTCCCTCCATTCCTCCCCGATTAAAAATGAGAATATTGTATGATGAAGGGCATTTTGAAAACAAGTATTTTTTTATTGTATTCTCTGTATATTCGACGTGATGTTCTGAAAATCTTTAGCTACACCGCGCTCTTTTAGAATTCTTGGTGCTTGGACAAGAGTTGGGGGAGAATCAACGTCGCAGATCGCAATTCTCATGTGAAGAGCTCTTATCGACGGTATAGCGTGAGTAGCGGAACTCGTTCCCTTCCTCAAGAAACAATGAGGCCTAGCCTAGGGTTTGCTTGATGTCGACGCTATGGGCTCCCTCCATCCTCAACGCTCGAGCCTTGGGTTGGTTGGACCTCATCTTCCAACAGACGGCGGAGTTCTTAGCCAAGTTTCCGTTTGTCTGCACTCGAGTTCATTAGTGATTCCTCACCTTCTCCAAGCTCATTTCGTGCTTTCGAGTTGACTACCACATCTTGGCCCAGCTACTCTAATTAGTCTTCAGAGTTTTATAACGCTAGAGCTTACAATACCTGCACTATGGCTCGTACCAAGCAGACGGCTAGGAAGTCCACTGGAGGAAAGGCTCCTAGGAAGCAGCTTGCTACAAAGGTAGACTTTGTTCCTTTTTCATATATTTACGCGTATACATATTTCAACCTTTTAGTCTGGCCAACTCATGCTTGCTATACTTGAGTGATTCAGGCTGCAAGGAAGTCTGCTCCTACGACAGGAGGAGTGAAGAAGCCTCATCGTTATCGCCCCGGAACTGTCGCTCTTCGGTGGGTATATTGGGAATATTATTACTGGAACATCACTACCTCATCCTTTGCCCTGAGCGTCGCTTACATACTTTTCTTTGGCTTTGCAGTGAGATTCGCAAGTACCAGAAGAGTACCGAGCTGCTTATCCGAAAGCTTCCTTTCCAGCGACTGGTCCGTGAAATTGCTCAGGACTTCAAGGTACGTCTTTTCTCCGTGCGGTTACACTATGGTTTTTGCGGTTTTCCCCCTCGCCTTACGGTCGCTAACTATGGCTATCTATGTTTTACAGACGGACCTTAGGTTTCAAAGTCACGCGGTGCTTGCGCTTCAAGAAGCCGCGGAAGCTTATCTCGTCGGTCTGTTCGAGGACACCAACTTGTGCGCGATTCACGCCAAGCGTGTCACCATCATGCCTAAGGACATCCAGCTGGCTCGGCGCATTCGCGGAGAGAGGGCCTAAAAACGTTGCGGGTAAAATTGTATAGAAGTCATGGTGGAGCTTCCAAGCCGCTATCGGCCTTTGACGTACTCCCTTCTCCTTGGGAAATACGCTGCTTGTTCATCTTTAGGACAGTCTTAGCGTCCATTTCTACGATGGATTTCTGGATCTGGGAATGGCGTTTTGGACTGTCGTACATTTACTAACAGGACATTTCTCTAGGAAGGTGATGCGTTGTTCTGTTAGGAGTCCGGTATTGGATGTCATGAAAGAGCGCACAATAGCACAGGCTATCTGGTGGAAGGATTTTTGTTGGTGGAACCATTGTGGGGCAACTCTGTGATACCCACCCAACTGTTTGGATTTATGATAAAAGATAAGCTGATAAAAAAATAAGATACAAGGGTTGCTGCAAGCACTTGCCCAGCACTGGAGTTGCTGGCTAGGAACAGATTCTCCCAGTGGCAGAATCTCAGCCTCGGAAACTCCATGCGAAATCTCATGCTTGACACCTTCCACAATGGTAAAGCTCCCCTAATTTGTTCTCCGAAAGATCGCTCAGCAGTGCCCCACCTCTCCAAGCACTGCCCTCTCCATCCACGCCTTCCCGCATCATGCGACTGAACTCCTCCCGGTCTATGTGCCCGCTCTGGAAGGGGGGGAGGGGGTGGGGAGTATTGAGGGATGGGAGGGAAGGCGAATGGGGGTTTGGATGGCCGGGACACAGGTTACAATATGTAGCTGCGAATGGGCAAATGTAGGAATGGAAGTTTGTTGATGTTACTGTATTATGACTTCTTATGGTTGCTCTAATCTCACATGCTTGCTGCCAATCTCCTTCCAGAGGCGTTCCGCCGTCTCCTTACTGTCGCCTGCTGCCAGCGTTGCCTTTAAATCATCTACTGTGATGTAGCCGCGGCCCTCCCTGCAACATGGAAAAGAAACACGAAAGGAAAAGCCATAGAGGAACAACCGAATTATATAGAGCAGCAAGCGCAAGTGCTGACTTTATCTGTCGCATAATCCTGCATGCTTGTGCGCCGTGTGCTATGTGATAATGTTCTCATTGCTCTCCACAAGTACGGAAAGATGTCTCTATGCAAGCAATGAGCTTGAAACACGCAACTGTCTCAGCACATCCCACCTGTCCAAGTGCTGGAAGGCCCTCTCTATGCGCGTGGCGTGCAAGTGCTTCACTATGATGGCCGACGTATACTCTGACGTGCCTCAAGCAGAGCAGGAGCCCTCAAACATCTCCCCTCCTTCTTCCCTCACAACACCCCCTCTCCTCCTCCTCGCTCTGCCCACCTGTCCAAGTGTTGGATTGCCCTCCCTATGCACGTGGCGTCCAGGCGCTTCACCATGATGGCCTACACATACTCCGACAGGCCCAACGTGCCTCAAGCCAAGCAGGTGCCCTAAACCACCCCCCTCCTCCCCCTCCTCCTCCAGGTCCTGCTACTCGCTGTCCCCACCCACCTGTCGAAGTGCCGGAAGGCCCTCTCTATGCGTGCGGCATCCAAGCGCTTCACCATGATGGCCGACGCATACTCTGACAGGTCCAACGTGCCCGACCCCTTGCTGTCCGCCTGGGCCAAGCACAGGGAAGGAAGAGGACGGGGCGGGGGGGGAGAGGGGGGGTTGGGGGAAGGAGAAACGAGGGGAGGGGAAAAGCATTGAGAACATGCTACTCGTAGGGAACATGTTACTTTGACAGGTCCAGCATGCCCAAGCCCTTGCGCTCCTCCTGCTCATCACACAAGGGGCGAGGGGTGGCAGAATCCCAGGGGTACGGGGACAAAAGGAGGTCAAATGGAAGTGCCTCAAGGGGGAGCAGCTAAGGGGGAGCAGCTAAGGGGGAGCCACAATGTGGGTGAAGGAGTACCAAGAGTAAGAAAAGGGTGTTGATTGCATTGAGTTGCTTGAATCACTTACCATGCACGGGAGAAGCGTGGCTTACCGCCTGATTGATCTCTCTGGCCTCTTCCTCTGACTGCGGAGTGTCTTTGCTTCTGTTAACATGGCAAGCGCAAGATAGACTCACCGCTTCTAGCATCCCTCTAGCCCCCTTCTAGTATCTCTCTAGCCCCTTCCTCTGGCTGAAAGCGGGATGTGCAGCTGCAGGCAGGCGGCAAGCAGATCAGAAACCAGAAACTGAGATGTGGCGGGCCCTGTCGACGTCCACATGGTCGAAGCGACTTGGACTCCTCAGAAACTGAGACGCGTCCAAGCGAACACACCACTGCCTTACCGCCTCAATAATCTCCCCGGCCTCCTCTTCTGACCGACTGACAGTGTGATATGCAGCTGCTGGAAGCTGGCAATCAAATCAGAAACTGACACGTGTCCGCCCACCCCTGTCAAGGTCGAGATGTTCAAAACGGCATTGGCTCATCATGCATGGGAGATGGGATGGGAGAGAGGTGGGCTTACCGCTTCTATTATCTCCCTGGCTTCCTCCTCTGCCAGCGGGATGTGCAGCTGCTGGAAGCCGGCGATCAGATCCCCCACTGAGGGGGGGGTGCTTTAGTTGAATTTGTGATAAAGTCAAACTTGACGTGCGAACCAGGCGTTCGTTGAATGTTTACAAGTTCGCAGACTGAGGGCGCGAACTCCGAAGGGTGGGGGCGATTTGCATGCTTGACCAGGAAGCGCACGTTCCGTTCGTCTCTGGCGAAACATTTTCGCGAAAGGTGCGACGTAGATTACCAGCCCGGTTCGAACCCGAAATCCTTAATGTACACCCCCCTGAGGCGCCTCCGAGCAAACAGACCGATTTCTTACCGCTTCGATTTTCTCCCTGGCTTCCTCCTCCGACAGTGGTAAGTGCAGCTGCTGGAAGCCGGCAATCAAATCAGAAACTGACACCTGTCCGCCCGCCCTTGGCGAGGTCAAGGTGGTCAAAACGGCATTGGCTCATCATGCATGGGAGATGGGATGGGAGAGAGGCGGGCTTACCGCTTCTATTATCTCCCTGGCTTCCTCCTCTGCCAGCGGGATGTGCAGCTGCTGGAAGCCGGCGATCAGATCCCCCACTGAGATGCGGCCGTCTTTATCGAGGTCTAGGTGGTCGAAGCGCGTGCGAATCACCGCCATCTCCCTCTCGTCCAGACAGCACCCTGCCACCACCTATTAAAGGGGGGGGAAAGGGGCCCGAGGGAGGGGGGGAGGGGAGGGGAGGGAGGGGAATGTGGCAGAAGGTTGGAGGAGGAGGGAGAGGTGGGCCTCCTGTGACTGCAAATCACCGCCATCTGCCCCTCGTCCAGAAGACAGCACCCCGCCACCACCTACTGAAACGAAAGGAAGAAAGGAAGAGGGTGGGAGTTCCAGGGTCGAATTCACTCTGAGTTGTGTCCGCGAATCGAATGACCAAACGATGCAAATACAAGCAGCTGTACAGACAAGCACTCCCGACGACCTTGGAGCGTGTTGCAAGTCCGGCGAAAAACGATTAAGCTTTGAAACGAGTCACGTAGGGAGACAGCCATCGCCAGCAAGAGTAGATTGGGGCTCACCGCACGCAAGAGTAGAGGGAGGCTCACCGCACGCAAGAGTAGATTGGGGCTCACAGCACGCAAGAGTAGAGGGAGGCTCACCGCACGCAAGAGTAGATTGGGGCTCACAGCACGCAAGAGTAGAGGGAGGCTCACAGCACGCAGGAGTAGATTGGGAATCACAGCACGCAAGAGTAGAGGGAGGCACACCGCACGCAAGAGTAGATTGGGGCTCACAGAACGCAAGAGTAGATTGGGGCTCACAGCACGCAAGAGTAGATTGGGGCTCACAGCACGCAAGAGTAGAGGGAGGCTCACCGCACGCAAGAGTAGTGAGAGACACACCAGCAGCAAGGGTCGGGAGGGACTCACCAGCAGCAAGGGTAGTGAGAGACTCACCAGCAGCAAGGGTAGTGAGAGACTCACCAGCAGCAGGGGTAGTGAGAGACTCACCAGCAGCAAGGGTAGTGAGAGACTCACCAGCAGCAAGGGTAGTGAGAGACTCACCAGCAGCAAGGGTAGTGAGAGGCTCAACAGCAGCAAGGGTAGTGAGAGGCTCACCAGCAGCAAGGGTAGTGAGAGACTCACCAGCAGCAAGGGTAGTGAGAGACTCACCAGCAGCAAGGGTAGTGAGAGACTCACCAGCAGCAAGGGTCGGGAGGGACTCACCAGCAGCAAGGGTAGTGAGAGACTCACCAGCAGCAAGGGTAGTGAGAGACTCAACAGCAGCAAGGGTAGTGAGAGGCTCACCAGCAGCAAGGGTAGTGAGAGACTCACCAGCAGCAAGGGTAGTGAGAGACTCACCAGCAGCAAGGGTAGTGAGAGACTCACCAGCAGCAAGGGTCGGGAGGGACTCACCGCGAGTGCCCGCCTCTTGAGGTGGTTCATCTGGCAGAGCTGGCGCAGCAACTTCATCAGCAGGGGGGATAGTGGACAGCAGCAGGGGCAGGGCGAGATGCACCGGCAGAGAGGGAGACTCACCGGCAGCAAGGGTAGAAACAAGGGCTGAAATAGTCTCACCGCGAGTGCTCGTCGCTTGAGGTGGTTCATCTGGCAGAACTGCCGCACCCGCTTCATCACCGGGGGGGACAGCGGGCACGAGGGCGCCCCTCCCTCCCGCACCCACTCGTGGTCTGTGATGGAGGGCGAGAATGGGTATGCGGTATATGCAAGGTCTTAAGGTATGGTGGTGTATGTGTGCAAGTGCAAGCATACGTGCATGTGAATGTGGGAGACAGCGGGCACGAGGGCGCCCCTCCCTCCCGCACCCACTGGTGCGGTGAGAGGACAAGTGGAGCATCTGTGGTGAGAGGACAAGTGGAGCATGTGTGGTGAGAGGACAAGTGGAGCATGTGTGGTGAAAGGACAAGTGGAGCATGTGTGGTGTGGGTGTGCCAATGTGAGTAAGTCGCCGTGCGTGTGTCATTGTGAGTGCGTCAGTGTGAGCGTGTCAGTGTGAGCGTGTCAGTGTGAGCATGTCAGTGTGTCAGTGAGAGTACGCTTGTGTGCGTGTCCGTGAGTAAGCACATGCGTACACGTGTGAGAGAAAGTCCACCAAAGCACGCGTTCCCATGATTTGGACCGAGAAAAACCAGCCAGCATCATTCGCAAGCACACCCACCAAGTACTCTCCTCTAGGCACCCACCAAGCATTTCCCTCCAAGCACACACCAAGCACACACCAAGTATTTCCTGCGTGGTTATTCTTTTACTAGGGTCGCTCTCTAGCATGCGCCCCACGAGGTGCTTGGCCTGTGGGGATATGGACGGCCACGGGTCACAGCTCATCTCGTACTGCCCCCGCAGCACCGCCTCGCAGATGCCCTCCTCCGATACTGCAAGAGAGGGGGTTTGGGTGCGGGGATGGGGAGAGGGGAGAGAGTGAGAATGGGGATAAAAAAAGGAAATATGGGCAGACAGGGATCACCGCTTGTGTCGTCCTGCCCCCTCAGCACCGCCTCGCAGATGCCCTCCTCCGATACTGCAAGGGAAGGGGTTTGGGCGGGGGGGTGGGGATGGGCATGGGAAGGGTGGTTGAGTTGAGGGGATCGGCAGGAGCGTATGGACGGCCGCAGATCAAGGGCCACTGCTCAGCTGGTACTGCCCCCTCCGCACTGCCTGGCATAAAGCCTTCCCCGATACTGCAAGGGAGGGGGCTTGGGTGCGGGGGTTGGAGAGTACGAGAGGGGAGTGCTAGGGGGATATGGGCGGCCATGGATCACCGCTCTGCTCAAACTGCCCCCCCTGCACCACGTTGCATATCACATCCCAGTCTACCAGCCCAGCCTACAAGTCCAACCCACCATCCCAACCCACCATCCCAACCCACCATCCCAACCCACCACCCCAACTCACCATCCCAGAAGGGCGGTGTGCCGCACAGCAGCAAGTAGGTGATCACTCCAATTCTCCACACGTGACACACATGCCATGCCATTGCATACACCATGCCATGACATAAGCCATGCCATACATACACCATGCCACGCTACATCTTACCATCCCAGAAGGGCGGTGTGCCGCACAGCAGCATGTAGGTGATGACTCCGATGCTCCACACGTCGCACTCGCTGCCATAATCCTTCCTCAGCACCTCCGGTGCCACGTAGTACGCACTGCCCACCAGCTCCGTGAAGCGCTGGCCTGCAGACACATGGGAGGGAGAAGGCGTAAGGGTGGAGGAAGGCAGCATGTGTAACCATGGTGCACAACCCCAAGCCCATGCATGTGCTGCACTGCACCGGTCACACGTGGGTGCACGCAACAGACTCACGGAAAGTAGAAGTCCAACGGCTATATGGGCATGAGTGGAGCATCCTGCAGCATCCTGGAGCGTTTGGAAGCAGGAATTTCTCGTGCTTCAGATCGCGACGTGCCACGCCGTGCCAATGCATGTACCGCACCGACTCTCATGTGGACTTAAAACTACCGGCACGTACCACCGGGTTCAGCGAGCGTTGAAAGCCCCAAGTCGATTGTCATCAAGGGTGCGTCCTCCCCGTCGGGCAGCAGCAGGAAGCTCTCGAGCTTGAGGTCCCGGTGCTCCTTGACATGCCCTTGCATGTACTGCCCTGCTTGCACCAGCTGTACTGCCCTGCTTGCACTAGCTGTACTGCCCTGCTTGCACCAGCTGTACTGCCCTGCTTGCGGCCTCCTCAGCACCAGCTGTACTGCCCTGCTTGCGGCCTCCTCAGCACCAGCTGTACTGCCCTGCTTGCGGCCTCCTCAGCACCAGCTGTACTGCCCTGTCACCTACCCGGTTCAAAGAATGTTGAAACCCCGAAGTCTGTGGCCATGAGCAGCGCATCCTCCCCGCTGTGCATGTACTACATGTATTGCACCGCCAGGTTCAAAGAAAGCCCCTCCATCATTCCCTCCAGACATAGAGCATGGGCCAGACAAAACGCACACTCACCCGGTTCAAAGAATGTTGAAAGCCCGAAGTCTATGGCCATGAGCGGCGCGTCCTCCCCGCCGTGCAGCAGAAGAAAATTCTCGAGCTTGAGGTCACGGTGCACCACGCCGTGCCCGTGCATGTACTGCACCGCCTGCACTATCTGCCGCACCATGCCGGCCGCCCGGCGCTCACTGTAGCTGCCCTCTGCCTTCACCCCATCGTATAGCATGCCGCCTGGCAAGCAGGTGATTGTGGGGGGCGGAGGAGCATGCAGGTGAATGCGGCAGCGGAGAGACAGAAGGGCAGAGGGGAGGCAGCAGAGCAGAGGGGAGGCAGTAGGGCAGAGGGGAGGCAGCAGAGCAGAGGGGAGGCAGTAGGGCAGAGGGGAGGCAGCAGAGCAGAGGGGAGGCAGTAGGGCAGAGGGGAGGCAGTTGGGCAGAGGGGAGGCAGTAGGGCAGAGGGGAGGCAGTAGGGCAGAGGAAAGGGGTTCAGGTAGCGTGGTGAGGCGCCAGGGGAGATGCTTTCCCTGGGTTCGCCAGCCTGCCTTCGCTCCGGCTAAAGCATGCCTTCACCGCGGGGCATGCAGGGCGGACAGGGGAGAGAAGGGTGGGTGAATGCTGCCTTCACTGCATTCAATCTTCCGTACGGCATCCCTCCTGGAATGGTGCGGAGGGCAGAGAGTGGAGGCAGGAGGGGTGGGGTAGGGGTAGGGGTAGGGGAAAGGTTCGAGACCCTTCAGTGGGGAATGCTGCAGGGGAGAATGCTGCAGCAGAGAATGCTTTGCTTGTGCTTGTAAGCTTGCTTTCACTCTGCCGTACAACATGCCTCTTAGGTGGGTGGGGTGGGTGGTGGGGCACGGTGCCATGGCACCGGGTATGCACATGAACGAGTGAATGTGGTGCGAACGCGCAGAGTGAATGTGGTGCGAACGCGCAGAGTGCATGTGGTGCGAACGCGCAGAGTGAATGTGGTGCGAACGCGCAGAGTGAATGTGGTGCGAACGCGCAGAACGACCGAATGAGTGCGTGCTGCCTTGCCAAACGAACCATCTGCCCGACAACATTCGTGGAGTGTCGGAGCACTCACCAACCTGTGTCCGCCACCACACACCAGCACACCACCCCGACACACCACCCCCACACGCCACCCCCACACACCACCCACCCACCTGTGCAGATCTGCAGAATGAAGTGCACACACGTGGCGTCCTCGTATTGGTCAATGAGTGAAGCAATGCCCGCGTGGCCGGTGGAGAGGCGGGCGAGGATGGTCGCCTCACGCGCCACGTTGACGCACGAGGTGGGGGAGAGGTGGCGCTGATGGGAGGGGGGGAGTGAGGGGGGGTGGAGGAGAAATGTGGAAGATGGGGAGGGGAGGGAGTGTGAGTGTGTTGAGGTGGCGCTGATGCAAGGGGAAGGGAGCAGGGCGCACGATGGGGGGAAGAGTGTGGAGAGGGGAGCTGGAATGGCAGCCTCACGAGCCATGTTGACACACGAGGTGGGGGCGAGGTGGCGCTGATGAGAGGTGACATAGAATGGCCACGTCACGAGCCATGCTGGCTGGTGAGGTGGGGGAGAGATGGCCCTGATGGGGGGATTGGTGGGGGGAGACGGGGAATGGGGGGTTGGGCTGGAGAAGGGCGACATAGAATGGCCGCCTCACGAGCAGTGTTGACACACGAGGTGGGGGAGAGGTGTGGGGCGGGGGGAATGGGGGGAATGGGGGGAATGGGGGGGATGGGGGAATGGGGGGGATGGGGGGAATGGGGGAAAGGGAGGTAGGGAAGACGGGAGAACGAGGGGTCGGGGTGGAAAAGTGCGCGTGAGGAAGAGGTGGTACTGGTGGGGAGATTGGGGGGAAGAGCGGGGGGGAGATTGGGGGGAAGAGAGGGGGGGAGATTGGGGGGAAGAGCGGGGGGGAGATTGGGGGGAAGAGCGAGGGGGGGGATTGTGGGGAAGAGCGAGGGGGAGCTTGGGGGGAAGAGCGAGGGGGAGATTGGGGGGAAGAGCGGGGGGGAGATTGGGGGGAAGAGCGGGGGGAGATTGTGGGGAAGAGCGGGGGGGGGATTGGGGGGAAGAGCGGGGGTGGATGTTGGGTTGGGGGGAGGATGGAGCAGTGCTTGCCCCACACATTGTCTGCCTGCCCATTCCTTGCGTGCAGTGCACCCCTCCTTCTCGCCCGTCCTCACCTCACCATGCACTTGCCTTGCTGATCCTAAGCCGACTGACAGAGACTTGTTCTCTCACCGTGGTGATTGTCTTGCACGCATACAGCTACCCTGACTGCCAGTGCCGGGGTGATCCCATACAAGCCCCGGCCCAGCTCCCCACCAAGCCTCCCTTGGCTGTCCCCTCATCTCCCTCCCTCCCACCTTGGTGATTGTCTTGCACGCATACAGCTCCTCTGACTGCCGGTGCCGGGCCATGTAGGTGATCCCATACAGGCCCCGGCCCAGCTCCTTGCCTGCAAGGGGGGAGGGAGGGAGGAGAGGATCAGACGAATGCATGTAACATTACAACACAGGCACAATCAGCCCAATCAGCCCAATCAGCCCAATCAGCCCAATCAGCCCAATCAGCCCAATCAGCCCAATCAGCCCAATCAGCCCAATCAGCCCAATCAGCCCACTCAGCCCAATCATCCCAATCCGCCCAATCAGCCCAATCAGCCCAATCCGCCCAAACCGCCCGATCAGCCCTATCAGCCCTATCAACCCTATCAGCCCTATCAGCCCCCCCCCTATCTCCACCGACATTGCTACAATTTCACACCACCGCACACTCACTCTCACCCTCGTGAGGTTATCTCTCTCATACCTCCATCTGTTCCCCCTGCACTCCTTTTAACCACACCACATTGCTGCACGATCTACCCTCATCTCAGTGCACCTATAGTTGAGCCGCCTCGAGACACACCTCCATCTGTTGCCTCTCCATTCCTTCTAACCACTCCATCCTGCTCACGTCATCTACCCACCTTGCACTCCACCTGCGCCCCACTCCCTCTGCAATTGCCAAACCTCCAGTCCTCCTGCTCTGACATGTCTCCCTCCCTTATTCATCCCCTACCTACCCTCCATTTCTAACCCACTCTGTGGTCGCCCTCCACTCTCCTGTTTCATAATCGCCCTCTCACATAACTCCCACGGTCCCACCCTCCTCGCTCTCCCTTATCCATCGCCCACCCCCTCCTCTCACCCATCTCACCGCCCTCCTCTCACCCATCTCACCCCCCTCCTCTCACCCATCTCACCGCCCTCCTCTCACCCATCTCACCGCCCTCCTCTCACCCATCTCACCCCCCTCCTCTCACCCATCTCACCGCCCTCCTCTCACCCATCTCACCCCCCTCCTCTCACCCAACTCACCGCCCTCCTCTCACCCATCTCACCCCTCTCCTCTCACCCATCTCACCGCCCTCCTCTCACCCATCTCACCCCCTCCTCTCACCCATCTCACCCCCCTCCTCTCACCCATCTCACCGCCCTCCTCTCACCCATCTCACCGCCCTCCTCTCACCCATCTCACCCCCCTCCTCTCACCCATCTCACCCCCCTCCTCTCACCCATCTCACCCCCCTCCTCTCACCCATCTCACCCCCCTCCTCTCACCCATCTCACCCCCCTCCTCTCACCCATCTCACCCCCCTCCTCTCACCCATCTCACCCCCCTCCTCTCACCCATCTCACCCCCCTCCTCTCACCCATCTCACCCCCCTCCTCTCACCCATCTCACCCCCCTCCTCTCACCCATCTCACCGCCATCCTCTCACCCATCTCACCCCCCTCCTCTCACCCATCTCACCCCCCTCCTCTCACCCATCTCACCCCCCTCCTCTCACCCATCTCACCCCCTCCTCTCACCCATCTCACCGCCCTCCTCTCACCCATCTCACCGCCCTCCTCTCACCCATCTCACCCCCCTCCTCTCACCCATCTCACCCCCCTCCTCTCACCCATCTCACCGCCCTCCTCTCACCCATCTCACCCCCCTCCTCTCACCCATCTCACCCATCTCACCGCCCTCCTCTCACCCATCTCACCGCCCTCCTCTCACCCATCTCACCGCCCTCCTCTCACCCATCTCACCGCCCTCCTCTCACCCATCTCACCCCCCTCCTCTCACCCATCTCACCCCCCTCCTCTCACCCATCTCACCCCCCTCCTCTCACCCATCTCACCCCCCTCCTCTCACCCATCTCACCCCCCTCCTCTCACCCATCTCACCCCCCTCCTCTCACCCATCTCACCGCCCTCCTCTCACCCATCTCACCCCCCTCCTCTCACCCATCTCACCGCCCTCCTCTCACCCATCTCACCGCCCTCCTCTCACCCATCTCACCCCCCTCCTCTCACCCATCTCACCGCCCTCCTCTCACCCATCTCACCCCCCTCCTCTCACCCATCTCACCGCCCTCCTCTCACCCATCTCACCGCCCTCCTCTCACCCATCTCACCCCCCTCCTCTCACCCATCTCACCCCCCTCCTCTCACCCATCTCACCCCCCTCCTCTCACCCATCTCACCCCCCTCCTCTCACCCATCTCACCCCCCTCCTCTCACCCATCTCACCGCCCTCCTCTCACCCATCTCACCGCCCTCCTCTCACCCATCTCACCCCCCTCCTCTCACCCATCTCACCCCCCTCCTCTCACCCATCTCACCGCCCTCCTCTCACCCATCTCACCGCCCTCCTCTCACCCATCTCACCCCCCTCCTCTCACCCATCTCACCGCCCTCCTCTCACCCATCTCACCCCCTCCTCTCACCCATCTCACCGCCCTCCTCTCACCCATCTCACCCCCCTCCTCTCACCCATCTCACCCCCCTCCTCTCACCCATCTCACCGCCCTCCTCTCACCCATCTCACCGCCCTCCTCTCACCCATCTCACCGCCCTCCTCTCACCCATCTCACCCCCCTCATCTCACCCATCTCACCCCCCTCCTCTCACCCATCTCACCCCCCTCCTCTCACCCATCTCACCCCCCTCCTCTCACCCATCTCACCCCCCTCATCTCACCCATCTCACCCCCCTCCTCTCACCCATCTCACCCCCCTCCTCTCACCCATCTCACCCCCCTCCTCTCACCCATCTCACCGCCCTCCTCTCACCCATCTCACCCCCCTCCTCTCACCCATCTCACCGCCCTCCTCTCACCCATCTCACCCCCCTCCTCTCACTCATCTCACCGCCCTCCTCTCACCCATCTCACCGCCCTCCTCTCACCCATCTCACCGCCCTCCTCTCACCCATCTCACCCCCCTCCTCTCACCCATCTCACCCCCCTACTCTCACCCATCTCACCCCCCTCCTCTCACCCATCTCACCGCCCTCCTCTCACCCATCTCACCGCCCTCCTCTCACCCATCTCACCCCCCTCCTCTCACCCATCTCACCGCCCTCCTCTCACCCATCTCACCGCCCTCCTCTCACCCATCTCACCGCCCTCCTCTCACCCATCTCACCCCCCTCCTCTCACCCATCTCACCCCCCTCCTCTCACCCATCTCACCGCCCTCCTCTCACCCATCTCACCCCCCTCCTCTCACCCATCTCACCGCCCTCCCCCCACCTATCTCATAGTCATCCTCCACTGCCCGGAACGGCTGCCCCAGGAGATTCTCCGGCACGCGGGGAGCACTCTTGCGCGCTGCGCAGGGGGAGCGGGGGGAAGGGGGAGCGGGGGATGGGGGGAGGGGGGGAGGGCGGAGGGGAGAAGGGGGAGGGGGGGGAGTGGAGGCAGGAAGAAGAGCACGGGAAAGGGGAAGGGGGAACAATACAGGGGAGTGGAAGATGGAGAAGCCCTTTGGTGGTGTGGACCGTGCAGGGGGGGACGGGGACGCGTTGAGAGGGCGAGAGTGGAGGCGGGGAGGAGCGGAAAGGGTGCATGCAGAGAGGCAGGGCGGTGGATGGGTACATGGGCGTTCAGAGCAGGGAAGCACACAGCAGGGCAGAGAAGGGAGGGGATGCATGTGAGAGGGAGGGCGCGGGGGAGGGCGCGGGGGAGAACAGGGAAAGGACGAGGGGATGCAGGGAGTCGAGCTTCGTCACGAGGATCGGATCGCCGAGCTCCGTCTCGGCCACGATCGCGACTGGCTAGCACTACGTGTGCTCGCCTTCCGCCACCTTTTGCGTCGACTCAAATGTCTCTCTCGCATGCGAGACGCTTACTCGACGATCTGCTGAACGCGGAGCCTCGCCTCGCCGCCGCTCGCGACTGGCCGGTGCCACGTGTGCTCGCCTTCGTTCCCCTCGACGACCCCCCGCTATCCCTCTCCGGGTGCAGCGGCGCCGCTAGCTCGCTGGAGAAGCACCCGCCCATGCCCGCCCGCCTGCGGCGACGGCACGGCACTCACAGGTAAGTTAAAATCAGGCTGGCAGGCTGGCGGACTGGCTTGAGGTCTGGAAAGGCGAATCGCAGGGAAAGGCGACTCGTAGGGAAAGGCGACTCGCTGGGAAAGGCGACTCGCTGGGAAAGGCGACTCGCTGGGAAAGGCGACTCGCTGGAAAAGAGGGACTCGCTGTGAAAGCCAGCTGGCCGAGGCCAGAATAGTCGATCTCTCTCGGCGAACTCAGCGGAAGAGAATTTATCTTCTGGAGCTACGTGGTTCCTAAGAGTTCCGCAAGGGCAGTGGGCTGTGGTGAGCCGTTGACGATTCTCCCCCAGTGGGCAAACCTCGGAAGGGAGCGCATGGAGGGAGTAATCGCAGCAGACTAAGGGGACATTCCGCCGCGAGTGTTAGACCCGAGGGTTTAGCGGGAAGATCCGAGGCTGGAAATTTTTTTGCCTCGGGTCTTGCGAAAAACTGACGGCTCCAGCCAGTCAGCTGTCAAGCTGAACAACTAACAATGTCGCGCAAATGAACTTCCACCAAACATAACTTCGGAAATTTCTTGTGGACTCGAAATTTGTCGCAACCCTCCCCCCTTGCGACAGCTCGCGACTATGCAGCCGCTGCACCGTCAAGAATTTTAAACCCGCAGTTTGGTTGTGACAGCCCGTGGCTCCTTCGGCCGCGGTTCGACCTCGGGTCTGACACTCGCTGCGGACTGCGCCCTAAACCGCACAAAACACAACAAGAATGTAACAAACTGTCTCGAACTGAGGATGTAATACACGATTCTTCCACCGACAGACAAGCCACCCGAATATTTTACTAGTCCCGATGTTTCGGCTGCCCGACTTGAGTGTACTGAGCTAGCAAGCGAATATTCGGCTGACAATGTGGCTAGGGATCAGGGGGATAAGTTTATTTCGGGCAGAAAAACCAGAAGAATGGGGGGCCGTGCGTGTGAAGTCTACGCGGAAAAAGCCGAACGCATGGTCGCTTGCGCACGGCACGCGCGTAGTCAGAGTCACTCTCTATCGGAGCAAGATACTACACGACTAACATGGCAAATCACATGGAATAATACAGCTTTTATATTTGAACCAAATCAATGGGAGGACATCTGTTTGTAGCGCATCCACACCACTATTTCTGCTAGCTTCCAGAGTGGTGCCGATTATTCCCGTATGCAATCAGCACCACATGATTCTATGCTGAGGAACATGATTCCCATAACGTGATAATCGTCCAAGCGGCCCATATTCTGCATGCACGAAATGAACCATGCACACCAAGTAAAAATCGATAGACATTGTACCCCTGTCAGAATCCAAATCATCCAGCCCAGCCCAGCCAAAGACGCCGCACATAATTTCTGCGACTTGTCACGCTGTTGGTGCAGTTGAGGCACTTCAACACACACATCATCATCCCGCCTACACGTACCCCCGTGCAGCCTGCACAGCGTCCAGCCCTGCCTGCTCAAAGATGTAGTACATGGACAGATTCTTTGTCTTGTCGCCCTGCTGGTGCAAAATGCACGCCATACCGCCCGTGCTCCTCGCACGCACCATCGCCTCCGCACCCCTGCCCACCACTTCAAACTCCTCCCAGGGGTACCCCCCCAGATGCGTAAACAGCGTGTTATAATGATCCAGCTTCATAAACGGCGCAGCCATGACAGACGGTGCGTCCTTCTCCCCGGCCTCCACCGCTTCACTGATCGCCTTGGCTTCCGACGCGGGCGGCAGGCGGTGGAACGGCGACATGGTGGTGTTGTAGCGCACCGGACGGGGGTTGCGCCACGGCTTTCTGAACGGCGAGTCAGCGAATTGGGTCTGAGCTGCCACTGCTGCTGTGACGCTGCCCCAGCTGCTGCGGGCAGCTTCAAAATCGCTGGCTTCGGGGTAGGGCACGCGGGGGAGATGGCGGAAGAGGTACTGCTGGCCAATGAATCCCAGGGTGTAGCCGCGCTGGTCCTGCATGCAGTCCCCCACATAGGTGGCGTCTATCAGCTCTGCTAAAGCCCATGCGTAGCCCACATAGGCGCCGGAATTCAGGAACCAGTTCTTCGTCTCGTTGATTTTCCGAGGGTAAAACACCTCAATTTTGCGCCAGTCTGGGTAGCAGAAGATTTCGCCGCCGAAGGCCACAGGCGCGTTGAGTGAGAGAAACGCCTCGACGAGGTTTTCCGGGCGGCAGGACGGGCCGGGCATGAGAAATGCGTCGTCAGCATCTGTGGAAATTACGATGCGGTCAGGAGGGAGCGAGCGGAGATAGTCTCTGATCGTCCTCACGCGGCCCCCCTGGCCCCTCCAGGGGATGTTCACCCCGACGACTGAGAAGGGGATTGCTGCCATGTGCGCGAAATCCGCCATCCGAACCATGCTCATTCCGCACTCGGACGAGTAGACGATCCAGTCCACGTGGCACGAGGAGTAGGAGAACTTGCCACGTGGCACGGGATGCATGTCCCAGGGGTCCACGTCAGTGTCGTACTGCACGGCGCACCCGTCCCTCCCCGGCTGCTCCTTCAACTGCATCCGACGCAGCAGCCTGCCTCTCGCCACCCCTGCCTCCCCTCTCCTAATCGCCGCTTTAACTATGTACGAGCAGGCGACGCCTCCCAATTTGGGCGCGGCGAGCTTGACCCAGTGGCCCATGGGCTGGTTCACGCACGAGTCCCAGTGGTCCCTAAACTCCTCGACACGTGGCGTCAGATTAGTGGCCGTTAGAGCCCAGTAGCTCACGCCGAGGAAGGCGAGCAGCGCGAGGCACGCGAGGAGGGCTATAACGCGGATGATGGTGCCCAGGCGGGCGACGGAGAGGAGGGAGGTCGAGGACGAGGAGGCGGAGGCGGAGGCGGAGGCAGAGGGGGAAGAACCAGAGCGCGACATTGCGTCGGCGGGAAGCAGCTGGGATGTCTGTGTGTTGACGCTCTGTGGACGTCGCAAAGGACGGGACTGGAGGAACATATAAGAGCGTCTCCAGGAAGCGGGATCGAGCGAAACGGGTTCGTCTGCCAGTGGGGGTAACGCAGACTGCCGCCTAGCCCATCGAGACTCAGGAAACCCGCAACGTACGGAATTGCGAAGTGGCAGATTTGCCGAAGAGGTCGCCCTGCAAACCTAGAAATGGCGGAGACAACACCAGAAAGATGCGACTGCGAGGGAGACTGCAACCTGTAACACCAGAGGAGCTTGCGAAGGATAAGGACATTCTCGAAAATCATTTCGAAACCAGGATGGGAATTTTTCCGCCTACAGTTCGCAAGCACAGGTTTGCGAAATCCCAACACGTTACTCTATCGTGCGAGACGAGAAAAAAAATCGTTTGTTCGCGCAATTGGCTGTTCTTTCTCCCTCACCATTCTTCCGCCCAATCCCAAGGCCCAGCTGGCCACCAGTGCCGCTGACTTGCTCAACACCCTCCCCCATTCCCCCACTTCCCCTTCCCCCGTTCCCCTAATTCCCCTAAATTCCCCCCAATTCCAAATTCCCCAAATCCCCAATGCCCCCTGCTTTTATCCACCCCTCCCACCCACACCACCACCACACGACCGCGCGCCTCTGCGCGGTGATCATGCGTGCCCCTCCGCTGCAAGCTTTTCGCATCTCCCGTTCCACCCCACCCCTTCCCTTCCATGCAATTCACTCCGCAGTGCCTCGACGCAGATTTCCTTCCCGTCCGGCTGGACTGGCCAGGTCGCTGCTAGTGAAAGGTCGCAGCTTAGTAAGCAACGCCTCTTTCCGGCCGGGAAAGTACTAGTAGGCCACGTCAACGATGTATGTTTCCCCTCTTAGCAGCACTGCCCTAGCAAGCCTCAGCAGCAGCGTTATCCGTCGCAGCAGCACGCTCATTCGCCCGTCCGTCGTTACTCCGCCTTCGTCGCGTGCGCGCGTTCCGTTGAACAAGCTGTTTAGCGCTCGTCGACTGGGAGACGCGACAGGGCTAGTAGCGGCAGTAGCGGCACGCGCAGCAAAGTCCGCGTCTCGCGTTAGCGAAGGCGACTCTAGCGAGGACGAATCGAAGCAGCCCCCGGCGAGCGGACCGACCAAGACGGTGAAGATATTTTGCGCTAAGTGCCAGCAGCAGCTGTACCGGTACCGGAAGGGCGGGAACGGGGCATTAGTTAAGTGTTTCGTGGAGCGCATCGCGGAGGATTTCACCGCGGGGGACATGAAATGCCCCACGTGCGGGTCGGAGTTTGCGCGGATGCGTATGATCAAGGGGAAGCCCGCGCACAAGATCGTCGGGGGGAAGGTGTTCATGCGCAAGTGAGGCGGGGGGGCGCAAGGCAGCTCGGATACGCGCAAGTGAGCGCGCACAGGCGCACGTAGGGCGCGTAGGAGGCCTGAGAGGCGGCGGAATCAGTGAGCGCGGTCAGGCGCTACATTGCTGGAGCGGCGCTTGCTGGCTTTGACTGCGCGAATTTGCCATGAGGCGAGTCTCGGTGAGACAATCCTCCGCACTCCCTCGTGTTATCAGCTTTGCAAGAGCGTCGCCCCTAGGCGCATCACTCCGGGCGCGTGGCGCAATGTCCTTGTTCATTCCACGCGCTTCTACCTTTGCCCTCCTGCCAGAAACAGCGCCGCTCCATGCCTAGGCTTTCTACCGAGTCGACTCAAAGTCAGAGGTGGCACTTGTGTATACCAAGCTGCTCCATGGCTCGGTCCTCTCCTCCCAACTGCCTCTCCTCCTTACTCTCTCCTCCCTCTCACCATTTCCCTTTCCCAATGCCCCCCCCAGCAACCCGCACTCGCACCCTTAGTCATCGGCCAGTCAGTCGCTGCAACACCCCCCCCCCCTCGCTGCTCCATGCCTCATTTCTTCCCCTCGCTGCTCCAGGACTCATTTCTTCCCCCTCGCTGCTCCAGGACTCATTTCTCCCCCCTCGCTGCTCCAGGACTCATTTCTCCCCCCTCGCTGCTCCATGACTCATTTCTCCCCCCTCGCTGCTCCAGGACTCATTTCTCCCCCCTCGCTGCTCCATGTCTCGTTTCTCCCCCCTCGCTGCTCCATGACTCATTTCTCCCCCCTCGCTGCTCCAGGACTCATTTCTCTCCCTCGCTGCTCCATGACTCATTTCTCTCATCCGCTGTCTCCAACCGCCCCATCTCTCTTCTCCCTGTCACCACCTCCTTTCCCCAATCCCGCCCCCAGCAACCCGCGCACGCATCCCTGGTCATCGGCCGGTCCCTGCAAGGCTTCTCCCCCGTTGCTGCTGCAGCTGCCGTCAACACCCCTTTCTCCTCCTCCTCCTCCTCCTACCCCTCCTCTGCGGCCTCATGTACTTCAGCCAACAGCACCACTGGCGGCAAGGGCAATAAGGCGGGTGAGTGGCGTGTGTGGCGGTACCTACGCCACAGATGGCGATGGCTCACTGGGTCGTCCTCCTCCTCCTCCTCCTCCTCCTCCTCCAGTCACCACTCGCACTGCAAACCCCATGTGCAAGCACATGGCAGCAACAGCAGCAGCAGCATTTCTGGTCTAGACTTCGGGGTAGCAATCACATCTTTCCGCAGCGCCAGCAGCAGCAGCAGCGGCGGCTGGGGCATGGGAGGAAGAGGGGTGGTGGTGGGAGGGAGGAGAAGGCGCATGCGGAGATGGGTGGTGGTGCTGCTGGTGCTTCTGGTGGCAGTGGTGCTGGCAGGTGTTCTGGTGATGGGTGTGGAGCGTGCGGCCTTGCTGATACTCTCCCTCGGCTCGCAGAGAACAAGTGGGAGAAGTGCAGGTGAGGAAAGGAATCGAAGAAATTAACTTTTTCAGAGTGGGTTTTGATGCGTGGTGGTGTTGGTGGTGACGGTACTGGTGCTGGTAGTGGTGCTGCTGCTGCTGGTGCTGCCGCTGGCAGTGGTGCTGGCAGGTGTTACAGTGATGGGTGTGGGGCGTGCAGCCTCGTTGTTGATGCTCTCTCTCCCCTAATGCCCAGAGAGCAAATGGGAGAAGTGCAGGTGAGGAAAGGTTTTATTCGTTTGTGGAGAGAGTGTTTATGCAATGGGAGGGCTGGAAGGAAGGAGGGAAGCACGGAGAGGCAAGTGCTCTGCGTAGGGTGCCAACTTGCCAAGAGGTGAGTTGTTGGGTGCTTCAGAAAGAGGGGGGGTCTTCTTGTGAGAGGTCAAGACTGGAGGAGTACAGGGGCACAAGGCGAGAGGGGCGAGGGATGCAAGGCGAAGAGGATAATGAACGGTGTACGTGGATGCTGGTGTGATAGCGCTTTTGAGAGTCAACTCAAAGAAGAGGATAATGAACGGTGTACATGGATGCTGGTGTGATAGCGCTTTTGAGAGTCAACTCAAAGAAGAGGATAATGAATGGTGTACATGGATGCTGGTGTGATAGCGCTTTTGAGAGTCAACTCAAAGAAGAGGATAATGAACGGTGTACATGGATGCTGGTGTGATAGCGCTTTTGAGAGTCGACTCAAAGAAGAGGATAATGAACGGTGTACATGGATGCTGGTTTGATAGTGCATGGTATAGTAACGGTGTGGTCACGCATCAATTGCCGCACTAGCATGGCGGTCTTTGCCAGTATTGGCATCGCGTCAGTGCCTCTTACTGAACCTGTTCGAACATGGGCATGTAACCTTCGCCTGTTTGCTTTGTTTCTTTCCACTCAGCGCTTCCGCCGGATTTCCCGTTCTCCCTCGCCACCCACAGACAACGCCACGGCCACTACCAGCCTCCCAAGCATAACGACCCACATGAATTCTACCACGGAACGGGGTAACAGCAGCGGTACCAAAACTGGTCGATTGCAGGCTAACTCTGGGATGGGGGAGGAGGGGTCAGTGCTGGGCTTGGCAGTCGATTGGAGTGAGGAGGAGAAGGGGAGGATGGAGAGGAGGGAGCGGATAGGAGTGGAGAGGGGAGGGGAGGAGAGAGGGGATTTCTGGGTGAAGCGACGGGCGAGAGGGGTGAGAAAGGCCGGGGAGAGAGCAGGTAGAGAGCGCGCAGTGAAGGGGAGAAGGAGAGGAGGCAACAGGCGGAGGGATGGGGGGGTCAAACGCAACAGAGGGCTGCGGGAGAGGAGGAAGAGAGGGACGGGAAGAGGAGGGGGTGTGGAGGGGAGAGGGGGGAGGGTGGGCAGGGAGTGTGAGGGAGTGATGGTGGGGGAGTGGCCGGGAGTGGATGGGCTGCCAGCGGTGGGAGCGCTCATGGCTGAGCGGGGGAGGAGAGTGAGGGAGGGGAAGGGAGGGGAGAGGGGGGTGTGGACGGCGTCTGAGAGTGGTGGTAGCTCTGGTGGTGAAGGCATCGCCAACGGTCTCCCTTCTCTTGGGTGCGTGAGCAGCGGTCCTGCGTGCTTTCTGTCTGTGTCAGTGCATCGGTTTCAATGCACCGTTTCCTCCTCTCCCTCCTCCCTCCTCCCTCCTCCCTCCTCCCTCCTCCCTCCTCCCTCCTCCCTCCTCCCTATCACCTCCTGAGCGGTGCTGGTCCCTCACCTCTCCCACGCGTCCCTCACCTCTCCCACGCGTCCCTCACCTCCCCCACGCGTCCCTCACCTCTCCCACGCGCCCTCCACGCCTCACAGTCGGGGCGCTGATCCACCATGGCCTGCGCGTCCACCCCCTGCCCCCTTCCCTCCCCCCTATCACCCCCTGCCCCCTTCCCTCCCCCTATCAGCTCCTGCGCTCTGGTCGGCCCTCACCTCTCCCACGCGCCCTCGGCGCTGCACCTTGGCGCGGCCATCGACTCGCACTCCCTTGTGCTGCGCATGGGGCAGCACGGCCCTCCCACAAGACTGCAGGCCTATGTGTGAGTGCATGGAAGCAGGGATGGTTAGTGCTTGAAAGAAAGTATGCATTGGGTGCGTGGATCGGTGAATGCATGTGTTGACTCGCACTCACTTGTGCTGCGCATGGGGCAGCATGGCCTGCCCACACGACTGCAGGCCTATGTGTGAGTGCATGGAAGCATGCATGTCTCGTGCTTATGTCTCGTACATACGTGTGAGTACTTATGTGTGAGTGTTGGTTGCGGCTTGGTCTGCATTGCCACATGGCGAGCTTATGTGGTAATATGCATGCATGCATGTGTACATCCTGCAGTGGGGAGCTGGATGATGGATATAAGGTAGGATGTGAGCAGCAAGTGAGCAAAATGGGTGGCGTCGAATCTTTCTCTGGTGTGGAGGTGTGGCAACACAACTCTCACAACACAACACAACTCTCACAACACAACACAACTCTCACTCTCAGGCCGTAACGAGTCGACTCAAAAGTCACCTCGTTACAATGTCACAAAAACAACCTTCAGAAATTCTCTCTGGTATGGATTTGTGGCAACATATTTTTCATTTTCATCTCACTGCTTCCGGTCACCCCGCTGTCAATCCCTCCACTCACCAGCCTAGGCAGATGGACTGACCTGTGCGTGGGGTTGGGTTGGGTTGGGTTGGGTTGGATTGGGTTGGGTTGGGGGGGGGAAGAGGCTGACGCGCCTTTTCATTCGGAGTACCAGGCCCTTCTTCTGTCCCCCTTTCGTCACACTCCAGCCTGGGCAGCCACACAGATCTGTGGGTGGAGGTAGGTGGAGGTGGGTGGAGGTGGGTGGAGGTGGGTGGAGGGGACGAGGAGCTTTCTCCGCACGAGCTCTAAGCCCTTCTTCCCTCCCTCCGTCTCCCCCCGATCACTCTCTTCACACTCCAGTCTTGGCAGCCGCACTGACCCGAGGGTGGGGTTGGGGGGCAGGGGGGGACGGGTCCTTTCCACATGAGACCTGAGCCTTTTCTCTCCCCCCCGTCCCCCTATCACTCCCTCCCCCCACCAGCCTTGGCAGCCGCACGGATCTGTGGGTGGAGGTTGGGGGGAGGGGGGGAGGGGCGCTGCACGGCACACATGAGATGGGGGGAGGGGCGGGGGGAGGGGGGACGGGGAGGGGGCTCACGAAGGGAGTGGGGCGAGGAGGAGGGGGGAGAGGGCGAGCGGGAGTGCGTCGCCTGTTGGGGCTGATGGGTCACTCAGTGGCATACCTGCGCGCCGACAGGTCGGTCTGTGTGCGGAAGCGATTTAGTTTGGAGTCGTCTCAAAACTTGACAGGTCAGTGTGTGTGCGGATGTAGTGGGGAGAGTGGTGGTGTGGGAGTGAGCGTGTAGAGCGTGAGTGTGTGGAGAGTGGGTGGGGTGTTCCCCACCCACAACTACCCTCTCTCCCCTCTCTCCCCTCTCTCCTCTGCCGTCTTCCCCTTTCGCTCTTCTTCAGCGCTGCTCTCCTCCCCGCACCGCCGTGGCTGGCAGCGCTGCAGCAGAAGGGCGTGAGCAGAGGGCGGATGGGCAGGAGGCGAGGGGAAGGGGGCGCAGAGGAGGACGACGAGGTGAGGGTCGCGTTTGGCCGCTGCTCTAAACTTGATTGACCCCTGGGTGGCATGGACGGAGGCGTGTGGGGCAGGGGCGTGTGGGGCATGTGGGATGAACTCATCTTAGCATATGGCCACGTTGGTCTAGAGCTAACTGTGGGGAACGTACCTGGTGGGAACTTGTTAGCATGATCACAATGGAATGGAGCAGCATCAAGGCTTGTAAATTCTGAACCTTTTCCTCCCTCCCTTTCTTCCTCCCTCCCTTTCTTCCTCGCTCCCTTTCTTCTCCCTCCCTCCCTTTTTTTCTCCTTTCCTTCCTCCCCCTCCCCTTCCTCTCCTTACCCCTCGTTCCACCGATCCCCTCCGCCCTCTGCCTCTGTGCATGGATCCATACCCCCCCCTTTCCCAGGCACTCTTCCTCCCCCCTTCGCTATTGGACGAAGCTCGCCACCTCTTCAATGCCTTCGCCCACCGCTTCCGATGCGCCATCAATGCTCCCATGGCTGCGCGCCGTAATGCCTCTGCTGCCTCCACTGCTGCAACCACTGCTGCGGCCGGGACTGCGGATGCTGGTGCTGCGAGGTTTGCTGCAACTGCTGTGGGAGCAACAAGTGCCACTTTAGCGGCAGCAGCGGCGGCAGGCGAGGCGGTCATCCCCATCCCCATGCCTCGCATGCCGCCCCACTGGCCCGTGGTGCACCTGCTGCTGCAGGCGTGCGACAAGCTCACGTTGTTTGGACTCATCCGCAATGCTTCCGTGCACGTGCTGCAGAGGTAGGCCTCTCATTCGACTCAACGCTCGTATGGTAAAGGCCAGGTGTCCCTCAATGCACTCTGAGCTCCACTGGGCGCTGCCGTCTCTGCCCAGCTGCTGTGGCTCCTCATCCCATGCCCCACGCACCTCTCCACAGTCCCCGCAGGATATCTGCTCCCCCTCCCCCTCCCCTCTCAGCCCCACCCCATGCGCCTCCCTTCAGCCCGCTCAGAGCTCCTCTGCCGCCCATCCCCGCTGGTGCTAGAGTCGCTGCTTACATGCGCTGGTGCGCACCAACCTGCTCAGCAGCTGCGTTGGAGAAATTTCTGCCTCTGTACCTTCCCTCCCCTTCCCTCCCCCATTCCGTCCAGCCCCATGCGCCTCCCTTCTTTCCCTTCAGAGCTGCACCGCCGCCCCTTCACTCCTCGCGAGTGCTGGAGTCGCTGCTGCCTGCGCAGCTGCTCACCAACCTGCTGCTCCCCTCCTCAACGCCCTTCCTCCCCCCCCCTCCCCACCCCCCCACGTCCCCAGCCCCATGCACCTTTCCACCGTGAGCTCAGAGGTGCACCGGCGCCCCTCCCTGCTGGTGCTGGAGTCCCTGCTGCACGCGCTGGCGCGCACCAACCTGCTCAGCAGCTGCGGCGGCATCGAGGACCACTTCTGCCGCCTGCCGCCCTTTCTGGCGGGGGGAAGGGGTGGGGGCGGAAGGGGGGAGGTGGCTTCTGGTGCAGATGGTTCCGGTGGAGGTGTGGCTAGAGAAGGCATGGCTGATGCAGGTGGGGGTCTGGCAGGGAGGGGTTGGGAGGGGAGCGCTGGTGAGGAGAGGGGAGGGGAAATGGGAAGGGCGAATGTGGGTGAGGGTGCTGGCGGTAGTGGTGCTGGTGCTGGTGCTGCGGATGGGACTGGTGGAAGCAGTGGTGGCACAAACGGCCAGAGGTCTGTTAATGAGGAAGATTATGATGAGGATGAAGTGGACGGCAGAGGGGGAGGAGGCAAGGTGGTAGGGGGGCAAGGGGCAGTGGAGGGGGCAGGGTGGGGGGATGAGTATGGGGACGAGGGGGAGGAAGGGGGGGAGGGGGGAGAGGGCGAGGGGAATGGAGAGGGGGGCGGAGAGGGGAGTGAGGGTGGTGGTGGTGGTGGTGATGATGACTACGAGTATGACGATGATTACTATGGCGTGCCTGTGGAGGAGCTTATGAGTGACTTGGAGCATGCTAATAAGGAGGCTCGGGTGCAACAAGTGCAGCAAACGGAAGTAGGGTGAGTTAGTGAGTCTCTAATAATTCTTTGCTGCTAGCTAGCAAGAGCGTTGAATGAATCTAGTGCAGAGATAGGCTATTCATGGGTGATGATGTAGCACAAGTGTGAAATATAATCTGGACACTAGAGCACAAGTCATGATGAATCTGTATTGCAGAAGTTGGCTTGCTAGTTCAGAAGAGATGGCTTATTCTTGTCACGAGGAGAAAAGTTGTCTCGAGAAGGAGGGGAAAGGGAATATGTTTTACAATTGTACCCTATATTAATTGCCTCTAGCTAGGCTACGGTGTTTAAATTTTGCACAACTGCTTAAAAAACTATGGTTGAAAATTATGCTTAATGTAAATTTTACCACTAGCTACTCACCAGCAGCTCAAGAAGGCAAACGCTAGTACACCCCCATGTCAAGAGACACCCTGGGGTTGCCCTTGATCCTCGGGGAAGGGCTACAACAAGCCATCTCTCTGCCTGGGGGGTTATGGGCGCACATACCCGCTACTTAACAAACTCGGTGGATAGCGACTGAGTTCTCACATGGTATACGAGCCGAGTGACTCGGGTTCAATTCCCAGTGCCAGCGTTGCAGAGGCGCTTGTGTCTTCCGCCTATCCCAGAGAGGGGGGGTGTCAAGAGACAAGCTGGGGTTGCCCTTGATCCTCGCAGAAGGGCTACAGTGTCAACATGTATACATGTATATGTTTATAGGCTAGCTAGGAGCATACCATAGAGAGTACAACACTTAGAACAAAACTACCCTGTATGCCCTAATACTAGTCAACTCGTTACCTTGAGATGGTATCACACTAGGCGAGGTCCTCCTCGCCCACCAACGCTTCCGCCTTAGCCCTAGTCCTAGCCCTAGTCTTAGCTCTACTCATAGCCCTCGTCCTAGCCTGCAGGCCCCGCTCGTCGCCCCGCGCTCGTAGGCCGCGCTCGTCGCCCCGCGCTCGCTGGCCAGCGCTCGTCGCCCCGCACTCGTCGCCCCGCGCTCGCTGGCCCAGCTCGTCACCCCGCGCTCGTCGGCCCGCCCTTGTCGCCCCGCGCTCGCTGGCCCGTGCTCGCTGGCCCACGCCCGCTGGCCCCGCGCTCGCTGGCCTGCGCTCGCCGGCTCCGCGCTCACTGGCCCCTTGCGGACCGGCCCCCTAGCTCACTGGCCCCTCGTTAGACGGCCCTGAGCTCCCCAGCCCCTTGCTCGCCGGCCCGTAGCTAGCCGGCTCCCCAGCTCGCCGGCCCCCTAGCTCGCCGACCCCTCACTAGCCGGCCCCTAACTAGCCGGCCCCTCAATAGCCGGCCCCTTCCTTGTCGGTGTCCCTCGCGCTGACCCCGGTCCCGCCATGCCGCCGTGCCACCGTGGCGCCGTACCACCGTGTCGCCGTGGCGCCGTGCCGCTGTGGCGTCGAGCCGCCGTGTTGCCGTGCCACCTTGCCGCCGTGCCGCCGTGTCGTCGTGCCGCTGTGCCGACATGTCGCCGGGTCGCCATGCCGCTGTACCATCGTATTGTCGTGCCGCCATCAGCTGCTGAGGTCGTGGGATGGCGGACGTTGTACTCTGCCTGGACGCGGAGGGTTAGGCGATCGACTTTGAGGCCTGGCTTGTCGACCTTCGCCGTCACCTGACAGGTCAGCACCAAGACGGGTACTCTCTGGCTGTTCATGTCGATGGTCTGCTTCCCCGTCCTGCCACGCCTGCTGCCCTCCCTGAAGCCCCCACCCCTACTGAGCGTGAGGCATTTTCCGCTGCTGCGCTTGCTCGTCTCGTCTGGGAGTCGCGTGACGCCGTAGGGCAGCTTGCGATTAGTGACACCCTCCCCCTATCTGAGCGTCCCCGCTTTACCACTGTATCGAACGCCAAGGAATTCTTAGATGCAGTCATTGCATGCTATTCCATGCCCTCCACAGCCTCTGCTGGCCGCCTGATCCTCCCCATGCTGTTCCCTGATCTTGCGTCCTTCCCCACTGTCGGTGACCTTGCCACTCACCTCCGTGCCCTTGAGACTAGCTACCGCACCGCTAGCACTAAGGCCCAGCTCACTGCATTCTCGCCGCCACTTTGCACTACCCTGTACCTTATTGCCACACACCTCCCGGACCGCCTTGCCACTGCTCGCAACCAATTCCTTAGTCAGCACCCAGGTGACCTTACCCTTACCGCCTTTGTCACCACCCTATCCGAGATCGAGACCCGCCAGCGCACTATCGCTCAGTCTAGCGGTACTGTGGCGGTCCCTATCTTTCAGGATTGTGCTCCCTCCTAGTGCACTTACTCTGACATTTCTGCCGCTATCGCTGAGATAGCCCTTGCCGCTGAGACTGCTGCTGCAGCCTCAGCGCAGCCACGATAGGGTAGAGGCTGCCGCCCCAAGGGGGGGCGTGGCGGAGGGAAGGTTGGTGGGGGTGGTGCAGGTGGTGGAGGTGGGGGCGGGGACGGTGGTTCAGATGAGGGGACCAGGGCTGGTGCCCCGGAGCAGCAGCAGCAGTAGCAACAGTCGCAGTAGCAGCAGCAGCAGTCGCAGCAGCAGCCGCAGCAGTGGGGCCACCTCTCACCGGGGTGACCCGGTGCTTCTGGTGGTGGTGGCTGCGGTATCGGCCCTCGCAACTGGGCATTGGGTGGTAGCTCGACTCTGTATGTTGCCACTACCAGCTCCAGACCAGCCCGTAGCTCCACTACCCTTCCTAGTCCAGCGGTTCCCTCGGGCTCTCTTACAGGCCTGCACAAGCCCTCGTTCTCCAGGAACCTAGTTGGTGTCGGCTGTCTTCAGGAACCTGGGCGTCACCACTACGTTCCCCTGACACGAGCGGTACACGGTGTGTACCGAGGCTGCCACAGGTGCTCCCCTCAACACGTTCTCCCGGGATCCGGTGTCTGGCCTCTTTACGTTTGACACTGCGTCCCCCTTGGTGAGAGCACCTCCCCATGTGCCTGCGTCTACCCAGGTTGCTGTCGGCGTGCTCGTGTTGGTCGCTGACTCACCCGTCGCTTCTATGGCACCATCGCCTAGGTCACCCTGCCCTCCTGCGCCTGCACGGTCTTGTCATATGTCACCCAGCACGGTCTTGTTATATGTCTCCCTGCGTCGCTCCCTGCCCTCCCTCCCTTGCGTGCGCCGCCGTGCACGCCCTGCGTTGAGGGCTGGCTGCGCCGTGCTCCTCACTCCTCCTCACTTCACTCTGCCACTGCGCCACTCCAGACCCAGCACCTAGAAGTTTGGGGCCCAGCCCGTTGAGAGCGCTACTTTCTAGTGCTTGTCGACGACTAAACGAGCTACACCACGGTGTTTCCACTGGAGCGGAAGGCCGACGTGCCCAACGTTCTTATCCCGTGGGTGGTCGTTGCATGAGTCCACTGCGGCCTCCCCATGCTCTATCTCCACTCTGACCGTGGTGGCGAGTTTGCCTCCGGTTGGCTTGGCCACTTCTGTCGTGCGGAGGGCATCACCCAGTTGTACACCCTGTCGGACTCCCCACAGCAGAATGGGGTCACTGAGCGACGCATCGGCTTGGTCATGGAGATGGCTCGTACCTCAATGATCCATGCCGGTGCACCCCATTTTCTGTGGCCATTCGCTGTTCGCTACGCCACTCACCAGCTAAAATTGTGGCCGCACTTCCAGCGGCCGCAGGTTTCGCCGACCCTTCTCTGGACCGGGTTCCCTGGTGACGCGTCTGCGTTCCGCGTTTAGGGCTGCCTTGCTCACGTTCGTGCCTCTGACATCGATAAGCTCATTGCCTGCACTGTCCCCTATGTGTTTCTTGGCTTCCCCCTCGATGTGTCTTACTGGCACTTTTACCACCCGCCGTCTCACCGCTTCTTTCACTCGCATGACGTCCCCTTTGACAAGTCTGTCTCCTTCTACCACCGCTTTCCCCACCGAGATCTTCTGGTTTCCCCGCCCCTGTTTCTGGTTCCCACTTCCCCGGTAGCCCCTAGTCCTCTCCCTCCCCGTCCTACCTGTCTGGTGTGTCTCACGTCACTCCCCTCCCGCGGTTGTCCCGGTCGAGGAGTCGGCTGACTCTTGTGGCCCCGCGGTGCCATTCTCGCCCCCTGTCTCTGCTCCGATGTCTCCTCCTCCGTCATCGCCGGAGCAGTAGCCGTCGCCGCCATTGCAGCGGTAGCAGTAGCCAGAGTCATTGCCGTTGCAACAGGAGTCGCCGCAGGGGTCCGCGAGCTCTGGGGGTTCGGGCTTGTCCCAAGGTTACTGTCGTGGCTTGTCCCGGCGGTCCTGGGAAGGGCACCAGTGCTGGGGAGGGTTCTCGTTCTGGGGGTGCTGGTTCTGGGGGTGCTAGTCCTGGGTTTACTGTCGTGGCTTGTCCCGGCTGTCCTGAGGTGGGCACAGGTGCTGGAGAGGGTTCTCGTTCTGGGGGTGTTGTAGTGGAGAGTCCCGGAGGTAGCCGTGGTGCAGCTGGAGGTTCTGATGTCGGCGTGGAGGAGTAGCAGCAGCAGTCGCCGCCGATGTCTACCCTTCGCCTCCTCGGACTTCCTTCCCCCAACCGCCCGCCTGCACCTCCTCCGCCGCAGCCTCCCCTGCCTGTCTACAGCCCTGTGTTTCCTCCATCGGACTCGTCTCCAGCTCGTTCCCCCCCTTGTTCTCCTCCTTTGTCTCCTCCTGTGTCTCCTGACCCGATGCCTCCGTCCCACTTCTGGTCTCGCCGTCCCTCTCGTGCTTGTCCTGTCTCTCCTGTTCAGCGCTCTCACTGTTGGTGCAACCCTATGGCTTGCACTCGGCTTGTCGTCCTTGTTTGTGTGTGTGCATGCATGGCATGGAATGAATTGTGAGTCTATGTCATTGCTATCCAGTGCTTGTGTGTGTGTTTGAATGGTGTATCACTATGTGGTTTGTGTCGGTCAAGACATTAGCGAGTTTCTACAACTCGCACGTCAAGTCGTCGTTTGTGTGTCGCATGTGTTTTTTCTATTTTGTCGAGTGTGAAGTGTCCATCGTGTCGCAGGTGTGTGCAGCAAGCCCCCATCAACTCAAGAAGAATTTATCTTGCAGATCCAAGACCAAGAGCTCAAGATGTCAAGCCCAAGGGACGCGGATAAATATTAAATAATGAAAATAGTAACGTTACTTCGTGTAGTGTTACATTTCACTTGGTGTAGCCCCTTGGAGGGTTGGTTTCGAGACTCTTCATGGTTGGGGACTCTGTGGTGGTGTACCACCAACCTGGACCTCGGCTCTTGGGGTATGTAGAGGCTGAGAACCATCTCCCTCTCGAACTCTTCTTGCTAAGTTTGTACTCCTAAGACTATAGTGGCTGTTTTACCTCCTGCCAGTCAAACCGCCATAGCGTCGTCAAATCTTCATGGAATTTCATGATTCAACTTGCTGCTGATAGACGACATCAACGCGCTCCAGATCCAACTTACAGATCACCGTTTGATTCAGTGACCAGATCGTTATCTATATTTGAAGCCGTCTGACAGAAATCCGACTGTGCTCTCTATCTCTCATTATAGGCACATCTAAGCCTATTGTGATTATAACAAGTGGTATCAGAGCCCCTTGGAGCCGTTTCGACCATGCCTAGACCTGAGGAAGGGGTTGGCAGAGGTGCTGGAGGTAGAGAAGACGCCCAAGCACAAGGTCAACACCAACATCCACCCGTTGCTCCGGTGCAACCTAGCCTTGGACCCTCCAGGGATGAGCCTAGAGTGTTTGGCCTTGACAAGTTCAACGGTGACAACTTTGCTGAGTGGTCCTTCAAGATGGAGAACATCTTTGACCATTATGATCTGCTGGAGGTGATGGAAGGAACGGAGAAGCGCCCCGAGAACGACCCGGAGAAGAGCCCGTGGGTGCGGAAGAGCGCACAAGGCTACCTTCTACTTGGGCAAGCGTTGGGGAGCAGCCAAATCCGTCACATCAAGCCTTTTCAGCGTGAACCAGCAAAGGGACCAAAGGCATGGGCTGCTCTCAAGGGGGTACACGCTCCTGCAACAGCGGCGGTGGCTGTGGTTTTGGAGCGGCAAATGGCGGCACTTCGAATTGACGAAGGCGAACCGGTGGAGGAAGGAGTGCAGAAATTCTTCGACTTGTTGACACGGCTCGAAGGAGCTGATCTGAACTACAGTGACCTTCAAAAGAAGACCAAGCTGCTGGCCTTACTTCCGGACTCATGGTCCTCGCTCATCATCAACCTAAATCGAGATCTGCCCCGTCTCTCACTCGAAGATGTGAAGCGGGAAATCTTACAAGAAGATTTCCGCCGTCGCGAATTGGCGGGTCACGATCGTGCCGGAGTTGCAAGCATGGGCCGTGGGCACGGCCGTGGAAGGGGCAGAGGGCGAGGAGGAAGATTTGGCAGCAGCAACTTCTATGGAGGCCGTGGTAATGGAGGATATGGCAGCAACAACAATGGCTACGGGCGTGGGCGCGGTCGATTTGATGGCGAATGCCACTTTTGCCACAAGACCGGCCACATGTGGAGAGATTGCTTCAAACTACCTGATGGCTGGACCCCTTCTCAAGGCCAAGAGGGCAGAGGAGCAAGGGGAGGAAGAGGCAGAGGTCGTGGAGGCCGTGGTGGCCGTGGAGGCGAAGCGGCAAGCATGAAAGGTGGAGACTACGACAAGGACTCGAGTGAAGATCGATACCCGGGCCAATTCTTCTTTGTCTCCACGCAAGCGGCAGCTGCAGCAGGAGGTGTGGAAGGCTTTGAGGAGCCAGCTACTGTGGGAAAGGTCACCCTTCACTCTCTGGACTTTTGGGTGATCGATAGCGGCGCCACCTATAGCATGACACCTCGTGCGGACTTGCTCACCGAACTCGAACCGTCGCCGGTGAAGCATGTTACATCGGCTTTGGGGCAGCGAGCAGAGGTGAAAGGCATGGGCAAGGCCATGTTCAAGGGTGCTGATGGGAAGATGGTGGGCCTCAAGAACGTGCTTTTGGTGCCCAACCTAGCAGCCAACCTGATCTCTGTTCGGCGTTTGCAAAAGGCCGGCATGGACACATCTTCCAAGGGATCCAAAACTTATACCGCGAGGCTTGGTGAGCGGAAGCTTTGGGACCTTCATGAGGACAGGGACATCTACAATGAGATGTGGCAAATCCCAGTGGTCCCCATGCCTAAGGGGAGGCAAGTGGCAGCAAGCGTCAGCACCAAGAGTGAAGCGGTTGGTGGCGGTGATCACGGAAAACAAAGTGACACCAAGAGTGACTCGAAGGAGTGCAACCTTGGAGAGACCAGCAAGGCGTGTGAACCCAAGGAGAATGGTGCAGCAGCCAAAGGTGGTGGAAATGGGGAGGATAAGCCTAAGATCAGCAAAGCAGCAGCGGCAAAGGAGAAAGGAGAGAGCTTGTGGGGCACGATTGCGAGTGCCGCTTTCTCCAACCCGACTTCCGCTACGGGAGAGTGTGATTGGCTGACCTTGCATCGGCGAATGGGGCATGTGGCATTGCCCATTTTGCAGCAGATAGTTAAGCAAGAGATGGTCAGTGGGATACGTGTCAAGGGGGAGCCCAATGAGGTGCTTGGCTGTCCAACATGCATGCAAGCCAAGTTCACCCGCTACCCGTTCCATAGCTCGGAGACAACGGCGAAGGCACCACTTGATGAGGTGGTGATGGATGTGGTGGGCCCCTTGAAGGTTGGAGCTGCTGGAGCAGAGTACTTCCTCACCATTGTGGACGTCTAAACTCGCATGACCTGGGTGTATGTGCTGCCCAAGAAGAGTGACGTAGCTGAAACGGTGAAGACCGATTGGTTGCCGATGGTGGAGCGGCAACAAGACCGACTTGTGAAGGTGATTCGCACTGACCGTGGGGGAGAGTTCCTGAGCAAGGATTTCTCAACTTGGCTGAAGAAGCAGGGCATAAGGCACTCTCTTACCATGCCCTACTCTCCTGCAATGAACGGCATCGCCGAGCGTGCGAATCGGACACTCACGGAGACGGCTCGGGGACTTCTCATTGAAGCCGGTCTTCCCAATTACTTTTGGCCGGATGCGGTGCGGCATGCTTGTGTGGCCAAGAACAGAGCCTTGACTCATGTGGGAGAAGATAAATGGGTGCCCTATGTGGAGTGGATTGGAAGGAAGCCGAAGGTGGATATGCTTCGGGTGTTCGGGTGCATGTGCATGGCACTTGTGCCTAAGAAACTTCGGCACAACAAGCTTGATGCCAAGGCAACATGGGCCGTGCACCTGGGCATGGCTCAAAACAGCAAGGGATGGCTTCTATGGGACCCATTTACCAAGAAGTTCTTGGTGAGCAGAGATTGCAAGTTCATGGAGAACTTACCGTACAAGGAGTGGAAGGCGGAGAACCAAGCGAAGATTGGTGTGCGGCTTGGAGAGGTGAAGAGTAACGGCTTGGAGCATGTGCAGCTGCCCTTGGAGCTGAGTAGCAGCAGCACAGTTATGAGGCAATCTCCTCAAATGAATGGGGATGAGGAGGAGGAGGAAGTGCAGCAAGGTGATGAGCGTGCACCGTCACTTCCGCCTCGTGCTACAAGTGCTCGTGGGAACCGACCAGATTTACCGCAACGCCAAGAGAGCATTCAAGTCCCTGCAGTAGAGGAGGAAGGAAGGGGGAGAAGGAGGACTCAGCCCCCTAATAGGTTGAGCTATGAACGGCTTGGAGGACCAGCCAACTCAACCTTGACCGGTTCGGCTCTCATGCTAGGCGATGATGCGGAAGATGAAAGCGAGGAGTGCGCCTTTGCCTTCTTCTCTTCGGTGGAGATGCCGGGGGAGCCTACAAATCCCAAGGAGGCTTGGGAGGGCCCCAATGGGAAGGAGTGGAAGAAGGCCTCAGATGAAGAAATGGGGAGCATCATCGAGAACGACACGTTTGACTTGGTGAACCTACCTCCGGGGCGTAAGGCGATCTCTTCCAAGTGGCTCTTCAAGCGCAAGACCGACGCCGACGGCAACATCGAGCGCTACAAGAGCAGACTTGTAGCCAAGGGGTATCAGCAGCAAGAGAAGAAGGACTACAATGAAGTGTATGCCCCTGTGGTGAAGGGTACAACCCTTCGAACCCTCTTCGCCGCGGCGGCCATCAAAGGATGGGTGGTGAAGCAAATGGATATAGTAACGGCCTTCCTCAACGGCGTTTTGGAGAAAGAAACCTACATGGAGCAGCCAGAGGGGTACAATGATGGGAGTGGCAGAGTGTGGAAGCTAAAGAAAGCACTCTATGGCCTCAAGCAAGCCCCTAGGCAATGGTACATCAAGCTGCGGGAAGTCTTGGAGGCGATCGGCTTCACTCCCTCAACGGCCGATCAATCGTTGTTCATGCTTGGCGAGGGGGAGCAGAGGAGCTTCATGGTGGTTTATGTGGATGACATCCTCATATTCTCACCCTCCTCTGACCTTGTGAAGGAGGTGATGCTGAAGCTTCAAGACAAGTTCAAGTGCAAGACCCTTGGTGACGTCAACTACTACCTTGGGCTTCACATTGAGCGAGATGTGGAGAAGCGGTGGATGCGAGTGCATCAAAAGAAGTACTTGGAGACCTTGGCTGCAAACTTTGGGAAGAGTGAAGGTCATGTGGCTACTCCTCTTCCCTCAGGGTTCAAGTGTGTGAAAGGACCAGCGGAGGAAAGTGTTAGTGAAGAGGAGAGGCGCCGTTTTCACTCCTTGGTGGGCAGCCTCATGTATGCGGCCGTTCACACAAGGCCGGATGCAGCCTTTGCTACCGGGCAGCTGGCTAGGGTTGTCCAATGCCCTAATGAAGAGCAGGTAGCAGCTGGAGAGAGAGTGGCCAAGTACCTTGGCCAAACAGCAACTGTTGGACTGCAATACTCCGCGGCGGCACAAAGGCGTCAAAAGGGGGCGGATGGAGTCGAACCCGGGAGGCTCTTTCTCACCGCCTTCTCTGATGCATCTTGGGCATCAGAACCAGAGGACATGACAAGTGTGGGAGGCTTCATCTGCTGTGTTGGTGGAGGGCCAACAGCTTGGGAGAGCAAGAAGCAAGTGGACCAAGCATTGAGCTCGGTGGAGTCCGAATACATGGCACTCTTCCGTGCTATAAGAGAGGTTGTGTGGCAGCGGCGTTTGCTAGCTGAATTGGGGGAGGAGCAGCAAGGACCTACCCCACTCTACTGTGATAGCCAGGGTGCTATTGCATTGACTAAGAACCCCGTTCTTCATGGCCTTACCAAGCACATGAAGGTGAAGTGGCATTGGGTGAGGAGCATGGTAACCGCGGGTGAAGTGGAGTTGCACTACGTGAAGACGACGGCGCAACCAGCTGATATGATGACCAAGAGGCTGGTTGAGCAGCAGCATTGGAAGTGTTGCAAGCTTGCTGGGATGGCTCTGAACTAAGGGGACCAGATTCTAAGGCCAACAATCCGAGGGGGAGTTTGTTGGTGCAACCCTATGGCTTGCACTCGGCTTGTCGTCCTTGTTTGTGTGTGTGCATGCATGGCATGGAATGAATTGTGAGTCTATGTCATTGCTATCCAGTGCTTGTGTGTGTGTTTGAATGGTGTATCACTATGTGGTTTGTGTCGGTCAAGACATTAGCGAGTTTCTACAACTCGCACGTCAAGTCGTCGTTTGTGTGTCGCATGTGTTTTTTCTATTTTGTCGAGTGTGAAGTGTCCATCGTGTCGCAGGTGTGTGCAGCAAGCCCCCATCAACTCAAGAAGAATTTATCTTGCAGATCCAAGACCAAGAGCTCAAGATGTCAAGCCCAAGGGACGCGGATAAATATTAAATAATGAAAATAGTAACGTTACTTCGTGTAGTGTTACATTTCACTTGGTGTAGCCCCTTGGAGGGTTGGTTTCGAGACTCTTCATGGTTGGGGACTCTGTGGTGGTGTACCACCAACCTGGACCTCGGCTCTTGGGGTATGTAGAGGCTGAGAACCATCTCCCTCTCGAACTCTTCTTGCTAAGTTTGTACTCCTAAGACTATAGTGGCTGTTTTACCTCCTGCCAGTCAAACCGCCATAGCGTCGTCAAATCTTCATGGAATTTCATGATTCAACTTGCTGCTGATAGACGATATCAACGCGCTCCAGATCCAATTTATAGATCACCGTTTGATTCAGTGACCAGATCGTTATCTATATTTGAAGCCGTCGGACAGAAATCCGACTGTGCTCTCTATCTCTCATTATAGGCACATCTAAGCCTATTGTGATTATAACACTCACCCTATGTTGCTAGGTTCCCATGCGTCTCGTCCTCCCCTCCTCCCTTCGCCTCCTCCGTCGTCGCTTGTTGTCGCTCCACCTCCTCTGCCTGACTTCCTCCGTGCCACTAGCCCTCTTGTTCCTCGGGTCCTCGCCTCCCTCGTTACCGACCCGTCCGTTCCTGTCTCCAGTCTTGACGCTCTTGTCGCTGCCATCGCTTACTTTGCCACTACCCACCACCTTGACTACGCCACCGCTCTTGTCTTTGACCCTGCCCTTCCTCCGTCCATCGGGGGTGCTGCTGCCCTTGGCAGTGACGTCCTGGAGGACCGGCAGTACGAGCTTGCTTTCCTGCCTAAGGCCGCGCCTCATCTCTGCTCCATGCTACTAGTCCCTGAGGGTGACCCAGACGCCTTCGCCCCGTGGACCCAGTGGCTCCTCCGGCGTCCGGCTTACGACCTGCGTCAGGTGCCCTGTGTGTGGCACGACACGCTGCATGCTACGTTAGCTGACCTGAAGTTCTTCCCGTCCTCTGCAGACCCTTCACTCTTCGTTCACTTAGGCCAGACTCTGTTCTACATCCTTGTCTACGTAGACTTCATGGTCTTTGCTACTGTAGACAGAGACGCACTGGACTCCGTGAAGGACGAGCTGCTGAGGAGACACACTTGCACTGACCTTGGAGAGCTGCGCAGCTACCTTGGCCTGCAGATATCCAGGGAAAGAGCAGAGCGCATCATCATTCTCACACAGTCACACTTGGTCCGCCTGGTCCTTCAGAGTTTCGGCCTTCAGATCTCCTCCACACAGCCCACACATCTGCCAGTAGACCATAGGCTCTCGACTCTAGTCCCTGACAAGTCAATAGACACTTGTGGTCCGTACGCTGAGCTAGTGGGCTGCCTCATGTACCTGATGACTTGCACGCGTCCAGATCTTGCTTACCCTCTCAGCATCCTGGCTCGCTTTGTGGCCATAGGCAGACACCGACCACAGCACTGGTCGGCCCCTAAGAGGGTTTTGCGTTATCTAGCAAGTACATCGGGCATGGGGCTAGTGCTAGGAGAACGCAGGCGAGTGGTCCTTACAGGACACACAGACGTTTTGTGGGCAGACAACGCTGAGACGCTCAGGTCCTCTTAGGGCTACTACTTTAGCCTTGGTGCAGGTGTCATCTCGAAAAGGTCCACCCGCTCGTCGTCTATTGTACAGTCTAGCTGTGAGGCTGAGATCTACGCTGGTGCCATGGCGGCACAGGAGCTCCGCTAGCTGACCTTCTTGCTCACAGACTTAGGTGAGCGGCCTAGCTCTGCCCCAGTCCTGTACGCTGACAATAGGGCCATGATCCTCCTATGTTAGGAGTTTCGACTCGAGGGCAGAGCGAAGCACATCCAGGTGCAGTACTTCCTCCAGCGCGAGCTACAGCAGCGTCGCCAGGCCCGCGTAGTACACTTGGCCTCCGGTGCCAACACACCTTATATCTTTACTAAGGCACTTGCAAATAAATATCATCAGCGGCACTGTGTACAGCTTGGTCTAGTTCCTAAAGCTTCTCACTTGCTAGGGCCTTGATTGTGTAATAATCTTTTATATATATTCTCCTGACTGGCCTTGTAGCTACTGTTCCAGTGGCCGAACAAGTAGTGCCGCCCTGGTTTGCTCTTGTCTTGTTTGTACCCTTGCTGACTGGTCTTTGAGCCCTTGCCTCAGAGGTTGGACTAGTAGTGCCATCCTTAGCTTCGTGTCTCTTGCCAAGCACTGCCCCTTGTCTAGCCTAGGGGGTGTGTCTACATATATATTTGTATATGTTTATAGGCTAGCTAGGAGCATACCATAGAGAGTACAACACTTTGAATAAAACTACCTTGTATGCCCTATTACTAGTCAGCTCGTTACCTTCAGATACAGGCCATCGCTCTACCTGGGTGGTTATGGGCGCACACACCCGCTAATTAACAAACCCTTTCAGCCCAATGGTTTGTGACTGATTTCTGACACCCCAAGCTTGGGTAGAGGCAGAGCCTAACAAGAAACAGTACCCGTAATCCCTTGCATAGGGCACCCTAGGGCATACTTTTTTTACACCGACAAAAAAAGTTACACCCAGTAGGTGTTATGAAATGGTTTTTACAGGTATAAAAAAAGAGTGCAGATCAGTAATCACCAGAAGGACGCAATTGCTATGTCCCGGTTCAAGCTCCGAAACGAGTACAATAATAGAGCCACAAATTGCGAGATATTTTCTGCAACTTCATTGGTCCTGGGGATCGGCAAGCTACGCTTTCCCCACGCGTTGACATCTCTTGAATGTAAAATTGGCCAGAATCAATTTTGTTGCCCTAGATTGCGCTAGGATTCGTTCGCGATGTTGAGTGATCCAGATGCAAATGTTTATGGTTGTATACTGTCGAGTTGAAAAAGGTGGGGGATGTTATAATTTTTTCAAAAATCTATTTGCCGGGTGTTCTCATTGGGGAATCTGGAATAACACCCACCGGAATAAAACACCCAGTGAGTGTTCAATTTTGGGGGGTGCACTATGCGGGGGATTATGGTAATCTAGGGCAGCACTACTAGTCTAGCCTCAGGAATATGTAACAAAACAGCTCAGGGCAGCACTACTAGTGTGACCACTGAAACAAGAGGCCACGAGGCCAGTCAGCAAATATAACACGACAGCCGGCATATGGTATCAAGTACAAAGCCGGTATAGCATAGATCAGAATACAAGCAAGGGAGAAGCAACTGAGACTAGACCAGACCCATAGCTATCAGGCTTTTTGCGCTGATTTTGCTTCTTCTTTTTTTAGGGTGTTCTCTTGAACCGACCCTGATGAATCAGCCTTGAAAACGAAAAATGCCTTGGCCAAACAGTAAGAAAGCCACTGCCAAAGACTGGTGTTCAGGGTATTTTTTGGGATTGACACTAATGGATCAGAATGGCCTAAAACAAATCTGAGGGCCTGGACTAGACCAAGCTACATACAGAACCGCTAATTGTCACAAGGCCTTAGAGCCTTTGTGAAGATATCAACAGTGTTGGCCGAGGCAGGGCCTATTTTTGGATTGTGTCACAAGTCCAGGATTTAGCGGAAGCTTGAATAATACTAATCAAGAATTGAATCGTCTGAACACAAGCAAAGAGGCAATGCTATTTATACGTATGAGAACTCTTGGGAAGGGTAACTAGGAGCTTCTTATCATAATTCAGTCACTAACCACTGAGTTAAAAGGGCTTGTTAAGTAGCGGGTAAGTGCGCCCATAACCCCCCAAGCTCTGCACCTGTGACCCTTCCCCAAGGACCAAGGGCAACCCCAACGTGTAACATGACACCCCCCCTCGATTGGGTAGGCAGAAGACACAAGCGCCTCTGCAGCGCTGCCACCTCTCCGGTGCACACTGGGAATTGAACCCGGAAGGTCACCCAGCTCCAATACCATATCAGAACTCAGTCACTTACCACTGAGGGCTTGTAAAGTGGTGGGTAAGTGCGCCCATAACCCCCCAGGCTCTGCACCTGTGATCCTTCCCTGAGGACCAAGGGCAACCCCACCATGTATCATGACACTTCTAAGAGAGTTCTAGAAATGAGTAGAACCGTTCGTAGGAACACCATCTAGAAGCACAGTAAGGATTCTAGAGATACGGTGATGGTGACGGAACACTCTACGCAATAGAAATCGTGTCACACAAGGAGATTCCGAAACACTCTAACACATATGATATATAATGTATCACTGTGTAGGAGAAGAGTGTAGGGATTTCCAAAAAAAGAAAAACACACAACATAATACACAATAAAAAAACAAATGGCAAATAGCAGTGATCAAGGATTCGACAAGCCTCATCCTCTCAATGATTGTTACTACTCTGGAATCAGGGAGTGATTTTTTTAATTACTCTGAAAACTAGAGTGCTTCCCAATGTTTTCTCTATTTTTTCAAGGTTTTATTTCATTTCTCAAACAATTACAGTGCACTGACAATGCAGAGGGGTTCTTTAAGTTACTCTCTGGAGCATGGTCATGTGTATGCGGGGGCAAGATCGGGAGATGGGGGGGAAATGAAGGGGAAGGATCGAGAGATTGCAGGGGCGTTGGAAACCGAGATTGCAAGGGCGGAGGAAATCGAGCTGGCAGGGGAGGTCGACACAGCAGGGGCGGGAAAGGGGAATCTTGCACTCCCCCCCCCCCCCCCCCCCCCCTGCGAGCACATGTTGGACCTAAATCTGGTGAAGGGCCCAAGACGCCCTCACACAGCCAACAATGCATCTCCCTCGAGCCCTAGATTTGGTGAAGGGCCACTCAGCGCCCTCACAAGCCTTCGAGCACAAATGCCGCAGTGAATTTGGTGAAGGGACAATTAGCCCCCTCACACAGCCTCAAGCACGGGCCAGGCGATGATTTCGCTGGAGCGCAAGACATGACCTATTCTGCGGGACACGAGGGCACGGTTAGGTACAGGGGGCGGGGACAATTTCATAGGTATCCCCCCTGTATACTGACCATCAAATTGG